ACATCACAGTGATGCCACTCCGCTGCTGGCTTGATCACCTGAATGGGAAATTTGTAGTCGTTGCTCTGCATCTACATCAGCAGCCATGGGAAAGAAGAAGATTCCTTGTCCAGAAATACAATAGGCCGATGACTAAACATATTTCATTTGTTTTTGGAAGTCTGATCATTTATCTCGTTACCCATAATGCCATGAAACAATGCATAATGAGTTTCTTGTATGCTCTTCAGTTTGAAAGGAGCGGGATGGGCGGTGGTGAGTGACGTTGCCACTGCTGTATTTGGCCACTGCATTACGGTTGTGACACAGGAACACAATGGCCAAACTTTTGGGAGCGCTCTTTGTGGCCACGCTGTTCGGAGGAGGATGGCACCTACAACGCGCGCCATCTGGATGTTTACATTGGGGCCAAAGTCAGCCGCTACGTTCCAGGTTCAACCGCCATAATTTGTCCCCGATGGAAATGTTTGCCCAACATTAATAATAATCACAACAACAAAAAATTGCAGCAATGGGATAACAACATCAGGAAAAAGTTCAGTGGATTGCTGCATCTGTCAAGACTCTTGAGAGAGATGGCGACAGCTTGAGGCGGGTGGGCAGGGGTGGGGGGGGGGGGAGTCCTTCCTTCATCCAGCAGTGGATAAGATGATGGCTGGTGATCACGATGAGTCTTTCGAGCACTGGGTGGCACTCGGGGTTCGCCGTCGAGCTGACGGTTCCCTCGGTGCCGTTTGCGCCTCTGTCTCGGTGCCGTGCCGATTTACAAACCTTGGGATGGATACATCGATCGTTAGTCCCCTGGCCAGAGGTGGAAATTCCACATTTACATGACACGGGAAGGGGTGGGGGCGGGGCGTTAGGATTACCATAACCCTTAGCCCACGTTGACCTCTCACAAAGGCGTGCAGCCGAATCAGGTGGTGCTCATTTTATTGGGGGGCGGGGGGGGGGTGTAGTGGGGGTAGGTGTGGAGTGGTGCGCTGAACTGTGATCCCCGGCGACCTGAGTTGGCTTGCTGGACGTGGCTAACGTCGGTGGCGAGGGATATCTTAACTAATCTTGCCCCCCCCAAGCCTGCACTGACCAGCGTGATGAAGAACAGCAACAACCAGTTCTATATATATATTGCGCCCGTAATTGTCACGAACGTGCCAGGGTGCAGCGTGGCCCAATAACCCCCCCCCCCGTGCATAACAGAGGTTTTTTTGGTTCGATTGCTGAAATATAAATGTGTCGTTAAACCCGCCACCACCCGACACAGCCAATTAGTAAGGTGTGTCACGTAAACAGAACGTGGCCAATTCGTTGCGAGTACAGCGCAACGGTGTGCTGGAGAGTAAACCCACAACATTTACAATTCGAGTACGACGTTTCGCCAGTAATTACAACCAGCATCGTCAGGCAACAGCCAGAGTTGTGGAGACGACGTCACATTTATCCCCCCACCCCCCACCGTGGCCGACCGTATCGCGGCGCCCAGGCAGTGGATCGACACGGAGTGCCCCTAAATTACAACAACTTAACGACGAATTTTGATTTAAAGCTTTCGTGACTGCAGGGATTGATACGTTTTATATTTTTATTATTTTATTGTTTCTCTTCTACGTGACTCTACCGAGAGAACCAATAATTTTAATAATAAAAAATAATTTAAAATAATTAACTGAACGACAGCTGATCTGAGTGCCGCAATAGAGAGAGGCGCTCTGACATTGGACGTGGAACTGAGTCCTAATGGCCCGCCCCGTAATGATAAGCACCCCCCCCACCCCCCTCCCCCCCACACAGCCGCTAGCACGCCGCGTCAATGTCGTGCGGAGTTTGTTTTGACCATACTTCTCCGCGCTGGTTCAGCGCGCCGTTGGCGAAGGGGCCAGCCTCAGGTATCGCCGCTGGTGCTATCCCACGGCCAGGGGTTGAACTCGGTTCTCGCCGGGTTCGTAGTGCCAACCCCCCCCCGGCATACAGCAAACATGACTGGAGGAATGAATTCTCAACGTGTGTATGTCTTGCGCATGGGAATCGATGTTGATCGGCGAATCGACGAATCGTCACGTCGCGTGCTCACCGCAAGCAATCCGCTGGTGCTAGGCACTTTTAAATCTTCGATTGAGGCCTCATTTCTTGAGAACTGCTTTCTCTGTTCGGTTTGTCGGCCTTCCCCCCTGCACCTCCGGTTGGCTACGTACGGCGCGAAAGAAGTTCAGCGTGCATGCGCGCAAATGCTGTTAGACAGCAATGCCCATTGGAATGCGCCTGCCCGCGTTCGTACCGCGCACCGCGCGTGTGACGCACGCCGTTCTCGTCGCCGTCGTCGCCGCCGTCGCTCCACGGTGGCGCTCCCAAATGGCAGGGAATAAAACAAAAACAGCAACACGCAGAGAGCGGCACGTGCTGTGCCAGCCAACTGCGCATGGGTTGCCCACGCCGCCGGTTGCGCGGTACGGGTGAAGTGATACCGCCCGTGCGCCCGCCAAGCGCACCGCCCGTGCGCCCGGGTAGCCACCCCCCCCCCCACCCCAGCTCGCCGCTCCAAGGCGTCGTGCACGCCCGATACGCCCTCCTCCTCCTCCGCCACCCCCTGCCACCCTGCAGCACCTTCACCGCAGAGAAGCGCAGCGCTGCATTGCAGTGGAGCTCGCGGGCGCGGTTGCGATCTCCTCTTCCCCCTGACGCCGCCCACCACCACCACCCCCCCTACCTCTCCGCCCGACCCATTGAACGCGCAACGTTGTGCCAACGTTGGGTCAACGTTGGAATGCGGTTGTAACCGTTGGATCAGTGGACGGGTAGCCTAACGTTGGTTCCGTGTTCACTGGGAGACGCGCTGCTCGGCTGCACCCGTCATTCGGCACCTCGCGTTGCCCTCTCTGAACCCCCTCCCCATCCCCTCCGTTCTCTGTTTCCATTCCCCATGCGCAGGGCTGGCAAAGAGCTCGATGTTGACCATTGTATTGCACCATTAATCCGGTCGTGTGAGCTCGCTTTAGGACTTGCATCACAGGCCGATAGAAATCTGCGGAATCCGTGCCCGCGTGACAACAATGTTTTTTCACCTTGTCGTGGATTTCATTTTTCCTCCTCTTCCTCCTCCGGCCAATTGGAATTTGTTATCCTCGGCCATCGTAAAAACCAACGAATCTGCTTGGCACAGCCATCTCAGCTGAGCTGCCACGGAATGGTTATGGTTACCAATCTGGTGCAGGGGGCATCGAAGAAGCTTGGCTTTATTTCGATTTAAAGCTTTCGTGACTGCAAGGATTCATCTTCTTTGGTTCTTTGGGTGAAGTCACGTAGAATGAGAATAAAATAATAAAATAAAACAATATTCTCACGACGTTTCGGCCACAACACAAGTGGCCTTCTTCAGGTGAAAGGAACAAACCTGTAGCTCTGTCGTCCCGACAGGTTTGTTCCTTTCACCTGAAGAAGGCCACTTGTGTTGTGGCCGAAACGTCGTGAGAATTTTATTGTGCTATTTTATTCTCATTCTACGTGGTGACTTTACCGAGAGAACCAAAGAAGAAGAAGAAGCTTGGCTTTCTTTTCCACGCCAAAGCCTTCTCTGACTCCGTGTGACCATTACTACGACCATACAAACTACAGAGCCAAACGCTGGAATACTGTGGTGTCGCCAGCATCACGTGACATCCACCCTAGTCGTTCACATCTGGGGTGGAGGCGCCCTACTTCCTAACCTCGCTGCGCTGCATAGAATTTAAGGCCAAGCGGCGGTCAGGGTGAGCGGTGACCCCGGGGTCACTCGCTCACTGGCGGTCAGTCGCCTCCTCGTGACCCCTCTACCGTCACGACCGTGGTTTGGGTCACCCCGTGAACGTCACTCTTTGTTTTCTGGTCACCGATGTTGAGGTTTCACTTTTCCGGACTGTTTTGGTGGAGTTGGGATTGCGAGGGGGAGGGGGGGGGTGGTGAGATGGTGGGGGAGGGGGGAGTCGAGTGGGAGGGAGACAAGGGGGTAACCCCCCCCCCCCCTTTGCCGAGTTTCGATTGGTAAAATTGATTTAAGGTCTAAAATTAAAACATTGATCACAATGATGTTGAGGATAATCATTATTCCGACGATGATCATTATAAAACGATGTTGTTCACAGCGATGGATATGACGATGATGACGTTGGTATGACTACAATGATATGATTATGAATAAGGTCTTGTATGTATGTTGAGCTTCTTTCGCACTGTACGTAGCCAACCGTGCTAATCATCACCCGTTATCTTGATAATAATCGCTGATGGTGATATTAACCGCGAACAAAATTGTTAACATGTCCAGCAATAACGCGGTGGCCTTAAAATAAACAAAATAAATACAAACGGTGACATTAGGCAATGGTCAACGGCCCTCCTTTCTAACGCGTTGGGTTATTTTGTTATTAGTGCCCGTGCACCACGGCTGACGCAGGGTCATCGCCAGGCATTCACCGTCAAGCATGCAACGATGATTCACTTCGCAATAGACGCGTCGTGCTGCGTAATGACCCATCACGTCGATCACGTTCACGACGTATACGCCGTACGTCATCGACTCGCTTACAGCCCACAGCCACTAGAGGGCGCCACATTTCACGGTTGTCCGATCATCACGGTTGGCTACGTGCGGTGCGAAAGAAGTTCAACGTGCGTGCGTAGAATGGTAACCGATATTTTTTTTTTAAATGGTCAATTCACGAGCACTATTATTTCGTAACAATTCATCGAATCGCGAGGAGGGCAGCTCGCTGGGAGCTTAACAACCGAGGTGACGATGACGGTGTTGCCGACAGTATCGTCGACGGTGATGGTGATGCCAACAGTATCCATAACGGTGATGGTGATGAGGACGGTGATGACGATGGTGTCGGCGACGATGATGGTGATGGCGAATATTATGGCGACGGTGACGGTGGCGGTGATGGCGACAATGACGGTGATGTTGACGGTGATGTGCGAATGCCCCCCCCCCACACTCCCCCGCCCTCTCTGTGCCTTTGCCCCAGACGAGCGCGAGGTCGTGCAGAAGAAGACCTTCACCAAGTGGGTGAACTCGCACCTGGCCCGCGTCTCGTGCCGCATCAGCGACCTGTACCTGGACCTGCGCGATGGACGCATGCTCATCAAGCTCCTCGAAGTTCTGTCCGGGGAGAGGCTGGTGAGACGGCTCGCTCGCTCGCTCGCTCGGTCGTTCATCCTGACTCGGCGCCAGTGTGACCTCCGCTGGGCTAGGCTAAAGCGGCTCTGTTACGAGGACGGCCACAGCCCAACACCGCCGGCAGTGGCGGCAGTTACAGGAGCATTGCAGTTCCGTGGAGTTACATGGAGATCCGCCGAGTTGCACAGAGATCCCGCGGAATTACGCAGAGATGCATTGAGTCCACCGAGAGACTCAAAGACTGAAATTTTGACTTTATTTCAGCTGGTGAGACCCATTGAGCTAAACGGCTCTGTTATCTTTGTTCTACTGGAAATCTGTGACAAAAACAGAGATGCATAACTCAACGGATTCCTCCAGTCGAAATAAGGAATCTGATTCCGATGCAAGGTTGATCACAGCCCGGCAACATTGGCAGTGGTGGCAGTTACAGGACACTGCATGGTGGCAATGTGCAAACTAAAAAGAGGAATAACAGAATCTTATCTTCATGAGATTGAGTCCACGTAGGTATAAAATAAAATAAATCACGACGTTTCGGGCGCAACACAAGCGTCCGTCATCAGGTGAGAAAGCCTTGGTCTGCTGCTGAGGCAGACTGTTTTAAAAGATTTGAAATGGGTGTAGCCCAAGGGTCATAAAGAAGTGGCCGGGGCTAGTGATGTTAATGTGAGAGATTAGCATGTAACTGTAAGATAGGAGAGCGGCCCCCTCAACGAGGGAGTGCAACCCAATGGCTGCAATCCAAAGGGCCTGTGAGTATGAGAGTGCATTTATAAAGCGCCTTTACCTAGGCGCTTTACAGCAACTATAGCATTGTTCATAACATGATAATGAATTTAAATTAAGAATTGTGTCATTGTAAGTGGTGGTGTAGTTTTGATGCAGTAAAACAAGAGGGATTGATAAGGAGGGGTTGGGATAGGCCTGGTCGTACTTGGGGGGGCGACAGAGAGCTGGTGGGCTGAAAAGTAATCAGGGGACATTGCATTGGGAAGACAAAGGGGGACGGGGTGGGGCTGGAGCCATGAGGTAGAAGGGGGGCCACCGAATGATTCACCTTCATTCGTTTTATATTTTATCAAATGCATTCCAACTAAAGTTGAAAGCGTTGATCCATTCGCGCTTTCTGTCTGTCTATCTATCCATCTGCTCTTCTGTTTGCGAAGATGAGCCAAGTGTGAACAAAAACTCGGCTAATGAAGGTTGCGTTGCTACATGGGACTTGTCCTGTTGAAAACTGACCGGGTTTATCAAGAGGGTTGCACAGACAAAATAAAAATCACTGAAGGTAACCCCCACTTTGCCATCCTGGTCCATGCCAGCCACGGCAAAGTCCTCTCGACCGGAGTCGCCAGGGGAGCCGTGGTGGCCAGATGTTAACTGCCTCGCCCTGTACGCAGGAGGTCCTGGGTTCGATCACCAAGCCTGACGCATGTTATATATTTGGAGTTTGCGTGTCTCTCTCTCTCACCGTGGTCGCGTAGATTTTTCTCTGGGTCCTCCAGTTTTTCCCTCCCCATTTGGAAATGTGCGTTTGGAGCATTTGGCCGCTGTAGATGAGCCACTTAGCCGAGCTATCATTTGTGATGGCCTGGTCGCTTCTGAAGAAGAGCTACGTAGCTCAGTGGGACCCTTACCTGGTAAAATAAAAAAGAGTAAGTAGTTGAAGAGAGTAGTTTCGCTCATTAAACCATTCCGGAGACAAGCCCGTGCTGGAAGGAGCTACGCAATCCATGTGCAATGCTTGGCTTTTTATTTCCTCGTCGATTTGTTATCAAACAATGAAACAATGAACGTCTGTACATCGTGCCCAAGGAACTGAACCGTGTGGCTCTTTTTTAACTTTCATTGACCTTGGAGATTTTTTTCTCGGGGTGTGGAATAAATAAAAAAATTAATGTATGAATGCTGCGAATAGTTAGCATTGCTGAAAATTTTGATTACGGATGGTGGCTCTATATTTGTCGTGGGTGGTGGTGGCAACTATGCGGATGCTTTAAATGGGATAAATTTGGAGATGTGTATTCTTGAAGTGGGCTGGCATTCCGTGGCATTACTTTTCCAGATAGGAGATGGGCCGTGCTGCTGTGTGCACGTGTGTTTACGTGTGCGTGTCTGTGTGCATGTCTGTGTGCGTGTACGCGTGTCTGTGTGCGTGTCTGTGTGCGTGTGTTTACGTGTGCGTGTCTGTGTGCGTGTCTGTGTGCGTGTGTTTACGTGTGCGTGTCTGTGTGCGTGTCTGTGTGCGTGTCTGTGTGCGTGTCTGTGTGCGTGTGCGTGTGTTTACGTGTGCGTGTCTGTGTGCGTGTCTGTGTGCGTGTCTGTGTGCGTGTACGCGTGCGTGTCTATGTGCGTGTCTGTGTGCGTGTACGCGTGCGTGTCTATGTGCGTGTCTGTGTGCGTGTACGCGTGCGTGTCTGTGTGCGTGTACGCGTGCGTGTCTGTGTGCGTGTCTGCGTGCGTGTCTGCGTGCGTGTCTGTGTGCGTGTCTGTGTGCGTGTACGCGTGCGTGTCTGTGTGCGTGTCTGTGTACGCGTGCGTGTCTGTGTGCGTGTACGCGTGCGTGTCTGTGTGCGTGTCTGTGTGCGTGTCTGTGTGTGTGTACGCGTGCGTGTCTGTGTGCGTGTCTGTGTGCGTGTACGCGTGCGTGTCTGTGTGCGTGTCTGTGTACGTGTCTGTGTACGCGTGCGTGTCTGTGTGCGTGTGTTTCTGTGTGTGGGGCGCGGTTAGCGCCGCGCTCTGAACCCAGAAACCCGGGGGTTGATTCCTGCTCGCGGTCAACATTGACGACGATTATCTGAACCACTCCTGGGTATCCTCTAGGTCGACTCAGCAAGTAAATGGGTATATCTGGTATAGGGTGTACAATATCAGAACTGAGGAGACAAAGGCGACCGGGCGTGGTGCTGGCCTCCCAACCCCTCGTGTGCCGTGCCAGCCTGAATAGGTGCTCGCTAACGGCACTCGCAACAACCCGGCCACCCGAGTTCGATTCCCACTTACAGCTATGGCAGATTGATAAGCACACAGCCTCATGAACTCTGTGGTCTGAGTTGCATTCCTCGCCTTGACTCGCAGTGACAAGTGGGATCAGAACTTGTTCTCATCCTCGCCTAGGTGTGTTAGCAACAAAATCTCACAAAGGGTGTGGTTATGATCACACTACCATTGTTACTCTTCCCATGGACTCTGGTCGTGGATTCCTCCACTCGCGGTGAAGACCTGGACTACCACACTGAAAGTTTCGTCTCATCCACCACACTGTCTTTATCCACCACCATCACCACACTGCGGGTCACAACAACACACTCGCTCACTAACCCCCTCACTAACCCACTCACTCATCCACTCACTCACCCCACTGCAGGTCACATAACATACTCACTAACCCCCTCACTAACCCACTCACTCACCCCACTGCAGGTCACAACAAAACACTCACTAACCCACCCACTCACCCCACTGCAGGTCACAACAACACACTCACTCACCCACTCACTCACCCCACTGCAGGTTACAACAACACACTCACTCACCTACTCACTCACCCACTCACCACACTGCAGCAAAAACAACAACCGCCATTCGCCACCAAGTGGCGGTGACGTCACCACGGCACCAGTGCCAGATCAGGCGCACTTTGAGGCCACGTGAAGTGTCGAAGGCTCGCTGATATGGGCTGACCGACTGAGACGGCTGGCAGACCCACCAGCTGTGCCCCCCACTGTGCCAACTTGCTGCATTTTAGCCGCCTCCAATTGCCCAGTAGCATCCTTCACGAGCCTCCTCCACGGATGCCGACTTGAATCATCATCACGACACATGGGCAGAGAGCCGGTCGGTGTCCACTGCACACTTCGTCATTTTATATTCACTCTCCTCTGTCTTGTGCCAATGTGCTCAAGCAGTGCACATCTTTTTTTCCGGCACCCAATCTCTCGTATCCGTCAAGACATCCTCTGTCCGGTCTTCCTCTCTTTCCGGTTCCTTCCATTTTTACGAACAACACAATTTTCAGACTTGAATACAAGCCATATACAGTACTGTACTGAAGCTTTACTAGCCGGCTTCGCCCGGCCGCCTTTGTCTTCCCAGTGGCGATGTTGACACACCACACCAGTTACTCGTTTGAGGCTGAGTCGACCTAGGGGAGGCTCAGGACCGGTTCAAATAATCGTCACCGGTGGTGGCCGTGAGCGAGAATCGAACTCGGGTCACCGGGTTCGTAGCGCAGCGCACATGGTGTACAGTCTGGAAAGTACCCACGTGGCAAATTTCAAGTTTGTTGCATGTCAGAAAGTACGCTAAACATTTTGAACAGACACACACATTCACACATTTCCCTTTTATATATATAGATAAACATCAAGTGTGGCTAGGATGAAAACCCAGCATGGGCCTCTTTTTAGATCAACTCAGACTAAAATGAATTTACTACTGCATGCTGTACACCTCAGGGGTCTACGCATTGCTTAGTGCTGACCACACCGTCCCTGCCTCAATAGGTGCTCGCTAACAGGACAGGACCCAGGAATGCACGTGGCCTCACGGGAGGTTTATTTCGCTCTGCGTACAGAAACAAATATTGAAGTTTAAGAATGCATACGTATATACTCACAATCCCCGGGGAAATGGTATATTCAATACGCATTTAAATTGTATACATTTAAAATGCCAAAAGGATTTAACGTAAATAGCTTGAGTGAGAAAATAAATGCAGTTGATGTCTTTGACAGAAATGAAACGCTTCAGTCGGTAAAGGCGCAGCCCTGCAATATCCGTCTCACGCCACTGCTGGCAGAAGGGCCTCCACTTAGAGAGAGCGCTGGAGAAGCTTTCGGGGATATTTTGGCCTACTCCTTCACGCTCGTCATTAGGACCGTTCAGCAAAGCCCGGGAAGCCGAAGCATTAACTTGTTTTTATTTGCTTTAACACGTTGGCTTTCACGACCAATAACCCAAATACCTTTAATTTTGCTTGTTTTTATTTGACGCTGCAGACATCAAATCGGCGTTCTCCTCCCATCGTGCCTTAAATAAACGAGCGGCCTTTCGTAAGCAGGCGAGTGTAAAATTCCTCTCCTGTGCCTCCTCTGACCTCTACCTGGCGTGTGGCCCTCTCGCTGCCCTCTCCCTTGCATCGCACAAATTTCCCGGCCATTTATTTTTTTCTCTCAGATGTATTTGTGTTGGACGTGTTTAGCCACCGCTCGTGAAATGTGGCACACGCCGAGGGAACGTCTTTCTTTCCTCGCCACGGTGGTGAGATGTTAACTTCCTCGCCTGGTATGGGAGGAGCTTGTGGGTTCGATCCCGATCCCGGTGCCTGTATGTTTGGAGTTTGCATGTCTTTCTACCTGTGGAGGCGTGGATTTTATCTCTGGGTCCTCCGGGTTTTCCTTCCACATTGAGAAACACGCATTTGGAGTATTTGGCTGCTATAAATTTCCACGTGATAAGCCACTTTGTTGAGCTGTCATTTGTGATGGCCAGGTCGCTTCTGAAAAAAAGAGCTACATAGCTCAGTGGGCCTTACCTGGTAAAATAAAAACTAGTTTAGTTTTTGATTCGCCACCAGCTGTGTGACTTCACTTAATCAGTATGCCGATCGTGGCGCTCTGTTAAATGGATACAAATTTTGGTTAAATGTTTTGGGGTTTTCTTATCACGACGTCCTGCCATATTTTCATAGGTCACCTTGAGACCAGAACAATGTGTGTGGTTTGTGAATCGCACCCTCGTAGGACATTGAGTCCTGTGTCTGCTTTAATGAATTGAACATTAAAAAAAGAACCTCTTAGAGAAATTGAAAAGCTGACATTTCACGAATGACATTCAAAATGTGTTTTTTTTTAAGTCGATGCAGACTCTGTGAAATCATGTTTAGATTATCTTTTTTTGTGCGCGTGTGTATGCATGTTTTTTTTTTTAAAGATTCATATTACACGGTCCATGATGGATTCTTCTCAATGAGTTTGATTTTTTTTACAGCATTGCTTTCATGCCAGATACCTTTTAAAAGTCTTTAATCGCGGCGCAACTCTCGCGTTCAAACATTACCGAATGACCAACGGACACATTAGCGCCCGTAACACAAACATCGACGGGGTAAATACATTCTACGGAACAAATCTCGGGGTGGTGAATTTTTTTCTTCGGAGTGTCATTTTCTGCCAGAATAAAAACCGTTACTGCCACTGTCTTTCTCTTCCGTAACGGTCGGTGGCAGTGAATCGTCGATTACTGTGGCGTAACTGTCAGTGTAGTGCAGGGAGGGGGGGGTGTTCCCTTGTGTTTTAATGAAGCCCGCTGGTTGGTACGAGTGTCTGCGTGCCTGACGAAGGGATTTCTCAAGGCCCTACTGCTGCGCCCCTTTGGTTGGTTTTACCGAGTAACCGATTTCTCCATCGTTCGAGATAGCGATCGAGGTTGCCACATTATCCCAGATAAGATTATTTCCAAACTGTCCATCCGTTGGACATGCGTAGAGAGGGGTAGAGGACCACGTGGAGTTGATGTCATAGTTCAAATTGTATGAGCAATCTCCCCTCCTCCTCCTTCCACCCCCCCCCCCATCTCAACTTATCTATGAATTGGAACATTCCAAACCGTTCGGCACCAACTTGTAGTGCCGACGGGTCAGTCGCGGCATGGGGGGGGGGGGTGGGGAACTCGGAATGTTCCACTCTTGTGCAGGGTTGTGGTCTTGCAATGATAAGCCATCTTCGACACAGAGCCTGTTCTTGGAAAGGGTAAATTAACTGCTTTTAAAAAAAGAGAGACATTGCCTGGAAGAAAAGAGATCGCTCGTAGCCGTTACCCATGACTAAATCGACAATTATTGCGTGCCGTAGAAGAACTAAACATTCGTCGTGCCAATATAACTGTTTGTCTGGAAGTTACAAATCCCATTGGGATGTTGTTATAAGTGGTGCTTCATTTTGCTGGTGTCAAGGCCAGTCAACCTAACATCACTACATTCATCCCCACTCCCCCCCGCCCATTTGTTAAAATTCATGGACTCGTACGGACTAAAAATAACTCCAATCAAGGAATAACTCCTGCTTATTTGAGTATACGTGTGTTGTTTGTGTTTTTTGTTGTTCATGTAAGTTGGCTAACTTGCCGTTTTTCCATCGGGGAACGTTTCCCCTTTGAAACGGCTGCCGCTGGCTCGCTGCCGTGCGCGTGCCGGCGAAGTTCGCCGTTTTCGCAACGGCATCGCGATTGGAACAACAGCAACAACAGCAACAACAATAATAATCATCGTCCACCGCTTGCCGATGAACACCTGTCCGCCGTTGTTTGACCATGCTTCTCCACGCTGGTCAGTGTGCGTTGGTGAAGGGTCGAGCGATTTGTTTGCCGTGAGCCGTGAAGCCGGGACTCGGCGTAGCCGGCCGGGCCCCCCCACCCCCCACCCCCCCCCGTTCGTAGCGCAGCGCCGCCAACCAACGGTGCCCCTCGCCGCTCTTAAGCCCCCGCACGTAATTTTTTTTTGTATTTGGGTAGAATCTGTCACGTGTAGCTTATTTAAAAAAAACTAAAATGTCCAGTCAATTCACCCGAATGGTATTTTGTAATTTATTTTTTCGTATACCGGCACCTCCGATTTCCCACACCTCCGATTCGTGCAGTTGGCTACGTACGGTGCGAAACAGGTTCTACATACTGTACATTCATATCAAAAATAATCTGTTTGTAATCGTGACAAGATTTTTTTGGGAAGGACATTTTCCAAAGAGCTTTGTCCGAATAAAATACATTTTACTCAACTGAAGAAAGGGAATTGGAAACCCAGCAATTGTGCTACTTAACTGTGGCGACTGTGGCGAGATCTCGCCTGATGTACAGGAGGTCTTGGGTTTGATCCTGAATCTGACGACTGTGTATTTGGGGTCTGCGTGTTCTCCCCGTGGTCGTGTGAATTTTTCTCCGGGTCCTCTGGTTTTTCCCTCCAGATTTAGAAACACGCGTTTAGAGTATTTCGCTGCTATACATTTCTACACGATAAGCCACTTCGTTGAGCTATCATTTGTGGCCAGATTTGGTTTTGAAAAAACACGATGTAGCTCAGTGTGCCTTACCTGGTTAAGTAAAAATAGTTTGGTTTATAGTTTAGTTTATGATGACCACCATCGGCACGGCGATAACAGTAATCATAATACCACAGGTTAACTTTTGTGGGTTCATTATCCATACACACACCACTCTTCCTTTTCACATGGCACTCTGTAGGCTCGGCTCACTGATGATCCAACAAAGGGTGGAAAGGCTTGAGCTGTATTTGTTGCCAGCACTGTCGTGATAACGTCTTGAGACTCGGTGAGATTTTCCTGGATAAATAATTGACATTACCATTGCTTTTATTATCACCGAGTACAATTTATTCTTAAACGGTATCTCAAAAAGTATATAAATACAGCTCGTGTGTGTAAACCGCATTCAAAACAACTTTAACAACATTAATTTACATATGTAGGTTCATAACGGTGTTCATGAAGGCATTGATGTTGATGATGGATCCTCATGATTAGAATGGTGATGTTGGAAATCCCAACGACGATCTTTAAAATAGCAGTATTGGTGATAAAATTGAAAACAATCGTCACCTTGATATTCATAACAGTGAAGATAATGTTTCTTGGTGTTTCGTGATAATGTGATGATGAAGATGATGTTGATAATGATTTAGCGATGATGATCATGATAGTGATGATGACGGTGTTGGTGATGGTGGCTGTATCAGGGGGAGCGGTAGTGCAGCCGTGAACATATTGCGCTATGAACCCAGCGAGCCGAGTTCGATTCCCGCTCAAGTCTAACACCAGTGACGATTATCTGAACCGATCCTAGGCCTCTCCTAGGTCGACTCGGCCTCAAATGAGTACCCAGTGCGGTGACCTGTATACCTTGCCTGGTATACAGGAGGTCGTAGGTTCCATCCCGACCCCGGCGCATGTATATTTGGAGTTTGCATGTCTCTCTCCCCCATGGTCGCATAGATTTTTCTCCGGGTCTTCTGGTTTTTCCCTCCACATTTAGAAACATGCGTTGCGAGTATATGGCTGCTGCTATAAGTTTCCACGTAATTCGCCACTTCGTTGAGCTACCATTTGTGGGCAGGTCGCTTCTGAAAAAAAATAATAATAGCTCAGTGGGCTTTAGCTGGTAAAATAAAAAAAGTTTAAAAATCGCAGCTCGAGAGACAAAGGCGGTCGGGTGTGGTGCTGGCCACCCACGCCCCTCTCGTGTGCCGTGACGGCCTTCACAGGCAGGTGCTCGCTCACAGCACTTTCCCCCAAAACGTTTTTTGTTAAGGCTATACGGGGTGGGGGGATCTTTTGTCTTTGTCATGGAACTTTAGCCGAAGCCGACCAAGGGCAAGATGCGGATCCACTGCCTGGAGAACGTGGACAAGTCCCTGCAGTTCCTCAAGGAGCAGAAGGTCCACCTGGAGAACATGGGCTCACACGACATCGTGGACGGCAATCACCGCCTCATCCTGGGCCTCATCTGGACCATCATCCTCCGCTTCCAGGTCTTCCTAACATGCCTCCTCCTCCTCGCTGCACACACGCGTCCTTCACACGTCATGTGGTCGCGCTATTTTAGCACCCGTGGTTGCGAACGAGCAAGTTGAGACTGTTCCCGGCCGTCGCTTGTGACGTTGATGCGGGGGGACCAGGCCACGGATGGTGGCGATGGCCTGAGAGAACGTGGACGGACGGACGACATCATCGGAGACGGATCGCGCATGTCGCCTTCTGACGTTACTCCCAAAGCAACTAACAATTTAAAAAACGTTTTCTTTCATTTTGCTGTCTCAATTTGCTTGTTCGATGATAGAGAGAGAGAAAATAAATCGATAGACTTTTCATATTCTTTGGTTCTTTCGGTAAAGTCACATAGAAATAGAAAATAAAAAATGACATAATATTATTTTCTATTTCTACGTGACTTTACCGAAAGAACCAAAGAATAATTCCTGCAGTCACGAAAGCACCAAATCGAGATTTTTCATAGTTTGCCTTTATTAGCCTTTATAGCGCAATGTAAGTCACTTCAAAGCGAGACCCGTCATTTATAATTTTGGGTCAGATCACTGCGTGAGCGGAAATACCAATTTGTGTCATACACCCTACTCCATCCAACACAGCCAAATAAACGAACACAGTCGTCACGTCAACAAACGTGTAAATATATGATTGCTTCAGCACGTCGGTCTGCTTGAGAGCGATCGGCAGACGTTTAACAATTTGTTTCATTTAAGAACATTTAAAAAAGCATCTAAATGCGATCGCAACTCAAGAAGCTTTGCAAAGCCTTCGATATTTTAACTTATTCTTCTTCATGTGGCTGATGTTGATGGAGACCAACAACAATAATATTACATTGAAGTGGTTGAGCCAGATATTGGTATCAGGAGTAGCGGAGCGTATGATCGTGATGATGCCTTCTTTGTATTTGTGAATTGGACATAGAGTCGTAATGCGTCCCACGGTCTGTTCTGGGTGCCCACAGTAGCACACCAGAGAGTTGCTAATTTTCCACGTGCGCTTCAACTAACCGTTATCTGCTGCCGTGGTTTGTGTGCGGGTTTGTGTGCGCCAGAAGCTTCGCGGAAGATCGAAGCCAGGTTTCCTCTGCGTTGTTGGTTCTTTCACGAGGAGTTTGTTTGTGACTTACGTATCGACTGCTAAGTGGGATTATGGTTTGCCTGGCTTTGTGGGAACAGATCCAGGATATTCACGTTGAGACCGAGGACAACAGAGAGACCAAGTCAGCCAAGGACGCTCTGCTGCTGTGGTGTCAGATGAAAACGGCCGGGTAAGTGGGGCAGGTGACAAACGTCCATGGTCTGGTGGCATCTTGCAGCTGAGGGCCCGATCTCCGCATGATCAACAACGTCAGGCCCTCGCACGACATCTGATATTTTTGCCGGCTGTTGTGGCAAATGTGCCTATTATTATTAAAAAAAAGGCAAAGATCATCCGTGTAGCTTTAACAGAATGTTGGGGCAAGTGCTGTTAGCGAGCGGCACACGATGGGGTGGGTGGCCAACACCACGCCTGGCTGCCTTAGTCTCCCCAGTGCTGATGTTTTACACATTGCACCAGGTACTCTTGTAAGGATGAGTCGACCTAGGTGAGGCCCAGCACCGATTAATATATTTGCCACTGTTTTTGATCGTGAGCGGGAATTGAACTCGGGTCGCCGGGTTCGTAGCGTAGCGTGCTCACCCCTGCAGTACCGCTCCCCGCTTAATTCAGCAACACAGGTAAACACAAACACACAATTGCACATATCCACAAGCATACAACACTTGCAATTACGCACTCAAAGTCAGGATTGGGGTTCGTGTTATGCTTATGGTTGATGTTAGTGTCAAGGTTAGCGTCAAGGTTGGTGTTATTGAGTGTTGCTGAGTACCAAGTATGCTAGACTCTCATCTGCGACGGTTGATAAAGTGGCTATAAGATGCGATGGAGAAAGTAGGTTGCTGACCGCGCTGTGTGGAATTCTGAGTGTTTCTGCCCTCGCATCTATGGATTTTCTGTAGGCACTCCACCGTCCTTTCACACACGGATGACTCGAGCAGCAATTTTTCAAGCTTCCTGCACAGATCCATTCCGCAAAAGGCCGTCCCAAGATCGAGTCGTTGAGGCCTCATAGATTGAGAGCGTTTTAAGTCCCCAAAATGCATTTTTTTCTGCGGCGGTTAAAATATCAGTGAACATCCGTCAAAAACATGAATGCGTAAAAAGCCCTTTCATCTTCGCGCAAAATAATTTGGGAGGAATGCAATGCTCACTCAACCCCAATCTAAGTAAGCCTCACTGCCCCCACGTACAGTGCTTGCACCTTCAAGCGACCCAGGAAAAGCTTTGTTCACAATCGCATTCCAGAGAATTTGGCAGGCACGGTTTGTTTGGAGGGCGATTAAGCCAGCACAATAATTGCCAGAAGGCATCTCTGCCAGACTGAGTCATTGCCAGCCAATTCTTCTCAACAGCTGCATCCTGTGGAATGAAAAAAAAACCCCACACACATGCTCTGTCCTGAATTTTTATTTTTTAGAGGGAATTTATTATTTGCGAGGGGGTAGATGTAATCTCCCGGCCTCTCCCTCGTGAGCTCTCAGCTCTTCTCTGGCAGTGTGGCCTCAGTAGACAAGACGAACGCCTTTTTTGCTGCTGCTGCTAATTTTTATGAATATCATCATCATCATCATTATATTTGTATTTTAGGAGTTAAAGAGCAGACATGGGGGGGGGGGGTGTTATACGTTTGGATTTACGCCCGTAAACATTGACCCCCCACCCCCCCAACTGCTATGCAGCCGCTCCCTCGGAGCTGTGGAATATTCTGCGTGCCACACCCTCGTGAGCCATGCGCCCAGTGTACTTGACGCTTCTCAATTAAATTACGCAGGAGCTCTTCCTAAAGTACATGCCGTACTCCCGTCGTTATCACAAGGGTCACGGGGGGGTGGGGGTCGATGCAGTGGTGGCCGGCCTGTACCCTAGCACTGGTGCGGCTGGGACCTCACCTGCCTCAAGATTTCCTTTAAGAAATGTTTTTGTTATGTAAAAAAAACATTTGAACACGTAGGTTTTTGCAGCCAATGTTACGACTCACGGTTGATCTTTGGGTTAGGGCCACGTCAATGTGGCCAAATTTACGCTTGAAAGCCCTCCACCACCTTGCAGAACTCAGTAAATTAGATTCAAGTGAAATGTCGTAGCTTATTGCTGCTTAATATGGGTTGTGAGAATTGTATTTAAAATTTTCAGTGAGCTGATGCACTATTAATTGGCGCATTGCTAAATGCTTGCACATCGCGTGATAATTTTATTTGCTTGACAATGTCAGGTGGTGGACAGGTCATTCGGTGTTCTAACACAAAAACAATTATGCATGAAAACATAAAATGGTTAAAACTGCAAAAAAATTCCAATTATGTATTTAAAATTTTTTAATTAGCGTTTAATGACAAATATAGTGAGTACTTTTGATTTGTATGCATTCCCAAAGTCCTTTTGAGCAGTACATAAGGACTTCAATTGGTACTCAATCTCTGAGACTCGGTGAGGCTTCACTGTAATGTACGTTATTATTTTATTATTATTAATTCATGGCACTTAAAATACTTGGGATCAAGGACGGTGGATGGATCAGCATTATTGAGGAATCTCAGCTGAGCTGTTTCGCTTTCAAAGAAAGGACATCGATGAATAGGTGTTACGCTGATTGATATCAGGCGATGATATCTGAGCATGGCTTACCATGGAACAAAGATGGTCACCGCATTGCTCGCTTTCAGATGTCCTTGTGCGGCCGTCTAGAACGCTCCTCCTGATATTAGGAAGCCACTGGAGCTATGCATTTTTAAATAATTTAGATTGAAAACTCATTTCTTTAGAACTGCTTGTTTGTGTTTAGTTTGTTGTCCTTCCCCGCACCTCCGATTAGCACGGTTGGCGATGTACGGTGCAAAAGAAGTTCAACATACATACATGGGAGGAAGCGAAAATGTTGATATGCACAGTGCAGAGCAGATGAACAGATTCCCCCCCCCCCCCCCCTTGTGAACGTGTTTTTTCCTCTGGTACTCTGCGTGTCTTCCCCCACGCGAGAAGAATACACAAGGGCTTGGCCAAACTTCCTGGGCAGGACGCTCATGAAACTCAGCAGGGCTTTCCTGGAATTACTGAGACGTGGATGGGGGGGTTGAGGATGTCGGATGGATCAGCGGCTCGGCGCGTTTTGTTTCTGCAAACGGTGAAAACGGGCGACGGAGCGTTGCCGCCGTTGAGGGTCGTGCCGTTGACGCGACCGCCATTGTCTTTCCCCGCAGGTACCCCAACGTGAACATCCACAACTTCAGCACGAGCTGGAGGGACGGCCTGGCCTTCAACGCGCTCATCCACAAGCACCGGTGCGTCGTCCCTCCCCCCCCCCCCCCCCCCCGACACCTCCTCCGCACGCTCCACATCAGAATCGTCAGAATCAATATTTATACTGGAGGAATCTGATGAGCTGTCAAGCTCTTTTTGCGCAGATGTCGAGTCACGGGGTCGGAACGTGACAACAACAAGCAACACAAACACACGATAGGAGTGCAAAGTATAGGAGAGGTAAACAAATCACTTGAAAAAATAGAAAAACAAAGCTCCGATATTTTTTTATCTTACCAGGTAAAGCCGACTGAGGTATTAGCTTCATCGCAGCATCAGCCGCGTCTCAGTAATTATGATAATACAACTCCGAATGTATCTGCAATCCTGTGTAATATCACGACTGCTACTATGGTTAGTAAAAAAATTAACTTAACACATTCGTCGACAATCCTGTGTGCCTTTACAAGGAAGAGCATACAACAGGCGACGTTTGGGACAATGGCCCCTTAATCATAGTACACAAATGGAGAGGCCCGAGAGACGGAGGTGGATAATTCGAGTTGGAGATTGCACTTCATGTCATGGGGCCTCTTGAGAATTTAACGTGAAAATTTTCTGGTGACCACTTTTGCGACCACTATGATTGTATCCGCCACTCCCCCACCTCTGGCCTTCGCACCTGATTGGCCCGCAAGTGACGACATCACATTTACCGCCCTCTTATTTAAGACCGAAACAGGAGGGGGATTTCTCCACAATTCTGGCTGTTGCCTGATGATGCTGGTTTTTAATTACTGGTGAAACATCGTACTCAGATTGTAAATGTTGTGGGTTTACTCTCCAACACACCGGTGTGCTGCACTAGTAACGAATTGGCATGTTTCATTTACGTTACAAAGCTGACTATTTGGCTGTGTCGGGTGGTGGAGGGTTTAACGACACATTTATATTTACGCGTTCTAAACCAAAAAAAACCCTCTAATATGGAAAATATTGGTCGCGAAAGCCTACATGTCAAACTAAATCGCATCTTCTTGTGGGGGAACATTGCCAATCATGCAGGATCTCGAAATACGGTTGTTTATAAAAGCCGTATAAATCCAGATTGTAATTGCAATACGTCATTTTGGCTGAGGAAGACGGGGGGGTGGGGGGGGGGACATTCGGGTTAGGGGTCCGGTGTCTCACAAAAAGTTAAGTGCGCGATTTAAAATAAATTACCCTGCACACGTGGGTGGGTGGTTGATTGCGCGTGTGTGTGTGTGTGTGGGTGGCTGGAGCCAGGAATAATCAGATTTACTTCATACGGGGTAATTATTGAGGAAGCAGCTGAAAGGTTAGAATGCGTTTATAGTTTGGTAACGTGAGTACGTGCCATCGGGCTCACCCGTAGCTTTGACTAAATGGATTACAGGCCATCGACCTCGTGTCGACGAGGTGTTTGCCCGAGCGCAATTGGCACGGAGAGTTGATCGTCTCGGAGTGAAAGGCTCAACACTCGCCGATTATGCATAGTTCATTCTAAGGCAGTGTTATTCACTAATGTGAGCTTTGATTTTGGTTGTTTGTGCTTGTGCACCGCTGCCAATGTGTAACAGCGTGACCAAATAATGTGTATAAAGGTTTACACTGTCACGTGATTGGTAGGGAGATTTGGTTGTTCAACAGACTGTCCTTCTTATGGATATGAGATCGGTTTGATCGCGTAAATATACATTTGTCGTTAACCCACCACCACCCGACACAGCCAATTAGTAAGGCTTGTCACATAAACAAAACGTGCTAATTAGTTACTAATTCAGCACACCGGTGGGTTGGAGAGTAAACCCACAACATTAACAATTTGGGTACGATGTTTCGCTGGTGATTTAAACCAGCTTCATCAGGTGATTTGCCAGAATTCTGAATATGTCTTACTGCTTCCGGTCTTAAATAAAGTAAGGGGAAGGTCATCACCATGGTCCTATCAGGTGCGAACATCAGAGGGGGGAGTTAATGTAGTCATATAAATGACAATGGATTACCGTAATTTGAAAACATGCAGTACATATTACCGGTTTCGCTCGTCACAGTTAATCAATATGAGAGTTGTAGTGGGGTTCTTATATCGAGAGAGATTTGCGATGATGTCAGCGGCGTGGAGAGTTGTTTGTCTGCAACGCAGAGGAATTACTCGTAGATAATAGATATAGCATAACGCAAATGGTGTGCATAGTTGATCGTGTGCAATGGAGTGGATTACTCGTGGACAAGAGATTACTACAAATTGAATGGTTTCGAGTAATTGTTTGCCTGCTTAGCAGTGGAGCACTGTTTCTTGGGAGATTCACGCCAAGAGCCATCTTGGCGATGCAATGAAGTTTACGCATGGATATGGAATTGACTCCACGGGCGGTACAGAGACGGTTGCTCGTGAACAATGCAGTGGATTTTGAATCATTAACTTAGCCCCACACCCCATCAATGTCCCCCACTTGGCCCCGCCCTCCTTCCCCCCCACCTCTTTAACCTATATTTAAGCTCGAGGCTCTCAGAGCCTCCCCACTTGATCAGCAATCTTGCTGTGACTGTCCCACCTGAAGACGGAAGCTTGTGTTGCCTCCGAAACGTCGTGAGAATTTTTATTTTTATTATTTTATCCCCATTCTACGTGGTGACTTTACCGAAAGAACCAAGAAAATGCAGTTGGATGTGTCGCGTGTAGAGAATGCGCCAGCGTGAGCGGTATGGAGAGTTGGTAATCGTCCGCAAATGAAACAGAAACAAGCGATCTTCTTTGGTTCTTTCGGTAAAGTCACGTAGAATGAGAATAAAATAATAAATTGATAAAATAAAATAACACAATAATATTCTCACGACGAAACAAGCGAGCGGAGCTCTTTGTTCCGAGCGAGAGATCCTACAGCGCTGGCGATTGCCGCCACCCCCCTCGCCCCCCCCCCCCGCAGGCCCGACCTGATTGACTACGAGCGGCTCAAGAAGTCCAACGCTCACCACAACCTGCAGAATGCCTTCAACCTCGCCGAGCAGAAGCTGGGGCTCACGAAGCTGCTCGATCCCGAAGGTATCGGTGGGGGGGGGGGGGGGGGTAGGGACGACGACGATCCCCGGAGCGCGCTCCCGGGCAACTCGTTCACTCGCCGGTGTCATACTTCTCAGTCGACGTGCAACCGTTGGGCCAACGTCGGCCGAACATTGACCCAACGTCGGAGCAACATGCACGTGCAAACACTGGGTCGACATCGGTCCGACGTCAAACAACGTTGCTCCGGTGTTGGGTCAACGTTAGGCGAACTTTGCACCAAAAGTTGGTTCGCCGTTCACCAACGTTGGTGGCCACGTTGGGTCAACGTCAACCAACGTTGAGCCAACGTTGGTCCAACGTGAGCTAACATTAGCCCAAAGTGTGCATGTTTACTGCGAGAAAAGATTAAACGTCACCGTCAGTAGTTGTAAGAGCAGTATAGGTGTTAGCATCAGCAGCAAGAATAAAAGCAGTGGTAGGAGCAGCAGTGCCATTAAAGCAACTGTCATCATCGTCATCAGGCGTAGTAACATTAGTATAACATCTTTATCATGATCATTAGTAGTAGGAGTAGCAGCAGTATCCGCAACAGCATTGTCGGTAAATAATCATCATTATCTTCATCCGTAGTTGCAGTAGTAGGAGGGGCAGTAGCATTATCATTGTCATCATCATCGTAACCTTTTAGCTAAAGGTGCCACCATTTATACCACCGTAAGCAATGATATTAACACATTTTCACGACTGTCATCATCGTCACCACTTGTATGAAGCTGATTGTGACGATGATGCTGCTGCTGCTGACGATGACAACAATGTCCCACAGATATCAACGTGGACCAACCGGACGAGAAGTCCATCATCACCTATGTCGTCACCTTCTACCACTACTTCTCCAAGATGAAGGCCCTGGCCGTCGAGGGCAAACGCATCGGCAAGGTGAGCAAAGGAAATTCTAAAGAGAAAACTAAACTCTCAACTATTTTTTTATTTTACCAGGTGAGCCTCTTTTTCAGAAGCGACCTGGCCACAAATGATAGCCCAACGAAGTGGCTTATCGCGTGGAAATTTCTAGCAGCCAAATATTCCAAACGCACGTTTCTAAATGTGGAGGCAAAAACCGGAGGACCCGGAAGAAAAATCCACACGACCAGAGGAAGAACATGCAAACTACAAATATACAGCCTGTGAAACTGAGCGATATTGGAGGTAAATCGGTACATTGTGGTCACCGACACACTCCAGTTGAGATACCACCAATGCGGAGCGTATTGGTGACCACCTATGAGGACCAGACCTAACTCGGGCACTAATATCCAGCATTCAGTGTGTATTGTACTCTTATGCCAGGAGTACCGATTCTCGCACCTCCGATTCGCACGGTTGGCTTCGCACAGTGTGAAATAACTTCACCAAACATGCACGCATGTTGCGGGCCTGACAATTGGTCATTTTCCTCTATCCAATGTGAACACTGCGCGTGGTATTACCCGATGTTTTCACGCTGCAGTCAACGTGATGCCACCCTATTGGACACACTCTCGCCCATGACGCATCTCCCAACGGGGAGAGATCGGCAAAAAACGAATCTCCGCACGATTTGTGTTGCGCAATGTATCTGAATGGTATCTGGTACACATTGTGGAAGTTGAATATTGTGATAAATTCTTTGCATGCGCTCTCTGTGCGCGCACCGAAACGTCAGCGTGGGCAGCGAGGAGGCGCCATACCGTGGCTTACCAGGAGTAGGCGGGAGAACAAGATGCGGACTCCGTTTATTCCATCTGTGTGGGATAGAGTGTTGCCTCCTTGGCACGTGTTGGTTTTCACGGAGTGTCCGGTTTCCCCCCCCCCACCCCCCCCACATGTGAACACTCATTAATTCGAGTTTAACACGTAGGCTTTTATCGACCAGTAGTATCCATAAGAGGGTGTTTATTTGTGTTAGATCACGTAAATATTAATGCGTAATGTTTTTGGTTTACTCTCCAACACACCCGGGTGTGCCGGAGTAGGCTCTAATTGGTGTGTTTTGTTTACGTGGCAAACTTCACTGATTGGCTATATTTACACGATCTAACCCAAACAACCTCTATTATGTATCCACAAAAACCTGAGTGATACTCCTACTACTGCAATCTGAAACTCTGTGAATGTCGTATATGCCGATATCTCTTGCCATACGAGTGAAGCCAACGTGGGGAGCGGTGGCACAGTTGATTTGAGTTTGATTCCAGGACGTGGCTAACACCGGTGGCGAGCGACATCTAGGTTGGTGAAAAATGGAACCTGCTTAATTATTGTAAGAAAAATGTAGTGGCAGCCTACCGCGTGGCTGCTGCTGCCTTTCTGCTCGTCTGTGTTTCCTCCTGTCTGCGACAGCGAGCGAATACTGTGGCTGTACATTACAAGTTGAAACCATTGTTGTAATTATTAGGGCGCCACGGTGGCGAGATGTTAACTCCCTCGCCTGGTATGCGGGAGCACGTGAGTTAGATCCCGACCCTGACGTCTGTTGTATATTTGAAGTTTGCGTGTTCTCTCTCTCCCCGTGGTCGCGTGGATTTTTCTTCCGGGTCCTCCAGTTTTTTTCCCTCCACATTTAGAAACGCGCGTTTCGAGTATTTGGGAGCAATACATTTCCACGTGATGAGCAACTTCGTTGAGCTTTCATTTATGATTTGCACAGGTTGCTTATGAAAAAGAGCTATATAGCTCAGTGGGCCTTACCTTGCACAATAAAAATTAGTTTTTAATTCCCCTCATCCCCCATAATTTGCAAATGCTCTGCACGTTGACCGGCGTCTGACCCGCAAAGGTTTTGGACAACGCTATCGAGACGGACAAGATGATCACCAAGTACGAGTCGCTGGCCTCCGAGCTGCTGCAGTGGATCGAGCAGACCATCATGGTGCTCAACAATCGCAAGTTCGTCAACTCCCTGACGGGAGTGCAGCAGCAGCTACAGGCCTTCAACACCTACCGCACGGTGGAGAAGCCGCCCAAGTAAGCTCGGCTACTCATCCACGAAGAGAAAGATCCCCCCCCCCCCCCCCCCGTGTAGCCTTAACAGACTTTTTGGGGAAATTGCTGTTGGCGAGCACCTTTGAAGGCCGGCACGGCACACGAGGGGGTGGGTGGCCAGCACCACGCCCGGCCCGCCTTTGCCTCCGCAGTGGCGATGTTTACACACCGCACCAGGTACTCATTCGAGGCTGAGTCGACCTAGGGGAGGCCCGGGACCGGTTCAGATAATCGTCACTGGTGTTGGCCGTGAGCGGGAATCGAACTCGGGTCTCCGGGTTCGTAGCGCAGCGCGCTGACCACTACACTACCGCTCCCCAAACACATACACACGCACGCACGCGCCAAGCGCAACGCACGCTTTCCAGGCTCGTCTTGTTTAACGAGCGTTCTTCCTACGAGAATTCGCTATAACGATCTTTGTGAATTTAGACCCATTTGTTCCCAAAACGACGCTAATTGATTGCAGATCCTAGAGGCCAGGAAATCGCGCTGCATTTCGTATCACCGTATCGCGGCTATGAGCCCACCAACCCTGGTTCGATTCCCAGCCATCAGTGACGAGTGATATTTGAACCAGCGGTCCTGCATGTGGCCCCTGCTGCTCCCTCCACCCACTAACACCATCTACCCTTCAAACAGCAAATGCCAGGCACCTGCAAGCACTGTGGTTCTTCATGGGTGGCAAGTGTTACATTTGATGTTTTATTCATTTAAAAAGTATAATTTGCATTTCTAATGTCAAAAAAGTTGTTCGAGGGTGGATAAATGCTGGGTGCTGAAACGTATCTCGGCTGATAAACGTGGGAGTGAGTCAGTGGGAAAGCGACGATACGTTTTTTTCGCTTACCGAGCAGTTTTCATGGAAATGTTTTTCGCTCGTTAAGCGAGACGCTGCTACGTTCTTGTGGTGACTGCTCCACCGGAATAGGCGGGGCTGTGTTATGCACGTTGAACTTCTTTCGCGCCGTACGTAGCCAACCGTGCTAATCAGAGGTGCGGGCGAAGGACAACAGACTAAACAAAAGAGCGGTTCTAAAGAAATGAGTCATCAATCTAGATGATGATGATGACGACGATTTCAAAGTGGCATAGCTCCCAGTGGCTTCCTAATATCGGAAGGAAGAGCGTTCCAGACGGCCGCAGAAGCGCACCCGAAAGCGCGCGATGCGGTGAGACCGTCTTGGTTCGATGGCTGCACAAAAGGGATCGTGGGGGTGGGGGTTGACTGGGGGACCGAGTAGAGGGGATGTGGGGGACTGAGGGGAGGGGCTACGGGTAATCGAGGGGAGGGGCTGTGGGGGGACTGAGGGGAGGGGCTACGGTTAATCGAGGGGAGGGGCTGTGGACATTCGACCAAATCTTGATGTGAAGCTTTCGTGACTGCAGGAATCCATACTCTTTGGTTCTTTCGGTAAAGTCACGTAGGTACAAAATAAAAATGATCTATCATTTGCTACCTACGTGATTTTACCGAGAGAACCAAAGGCGATGAATAGACCAAATGTGCAGGGCCCCGCAGCCGCTGTGCTTGGCACCGAGGAGTTGAGGCGTGCACGAGCGGCGTCGCGACGCCGGCCTCCGGAGTTTGCGTGGGGCGCTCACGCGGGGAGGGTGGCGGTGCGCGGCGCAGGTTCATGGAGAAGGGCAACCTGGAGGTGCAGCTGTTCACGATCCAGAGCAAGATGAGGGCCAACAACCAGATCGTGTACACGCCGCGCGACGGCAAGCTCATCTCCGACATCAACAAGGTGAGGTCACACCGGCAAGGCGGCGTCGCCGCTCCCCCGCTGAGCCGTGGCATCTCCGCTCAGCGCGGTTAGCTACGTGCGGTTGCGAAAGACGTTCAACGCGCGTACATGGTGGGGTAGAATTCGGGCCCGTGACGCTTGCCTCGTGAGATAGTTAAAAAACAAAAACATACATGAGAGAGAGAGAGAGAGAAAAAAGGCTGTAGCCTTTCTGGCAATGGGAATACAGGAGGCGTGAAGGTGTTCAAACACGAAATACACTCATTACAAGGCGTAAAAATGACCACCGGTGGTGGTGCGCGTGGCCTCCGCTGTCCAGGCGTGGGAGCGGCTGGAGAAGGCGGAGCACGAGCGGGAGCTGGCGCTGCGCGACGAGCTCATCCGCCAGGAGAAGCTCGAGCAGCTGGCGCGGCGCTTCGACCGCAAGGCGGCGATGCGCGAGGCCTGGCTCAGCGAGAACCAGCGGCTCGTCGCGCAGGTGAGCGCCGCGAGGGGCCATGCAAGGGGGGGTTGGGTGGGTGGGGGGGTGGGTGGGTGGGTGGAGGGGTGGGGGGGTGGGTGGGCGGGCGGCGTGGCGCGGTGGGCACGGGGGTGCGTCGTCGGGGCCGGCCTAACTGATTGAAATGGGGTGCAGAATCTGAATGTTTGTTTATACCGGAGAAAATCCGATGAGCTGTGAAGCTCTTTTTTCACAGATGCGCAGTAGGGGCGGGTTTAGAACGTTACAACTACAAACGATACAAAAATACGCTACGAGTGCAAAGCATAGGAAAGGTAAATAAAAAAAAATGATACAAATTAAACTAAATCACCTTTTATCTTACTAGGTGTAGCCCACCGAGGTTTTAACTCGGTACATATGTTGCCCACCCTCTCGCTTGTGCGACCCCTAACGATTTAAGTGGTGGGCCGCCGATATTTTAATCCTTTCAACCGATGCCGATCGTTCAAAGCTAATTGTACCGCTTCATCCAATTATAGAAGGAAAGAAATGTGATTCAGTTTGTGCTTTGAATATCGGCATTCTGTAAAAGGTTATTTAGTTTTTGTTAGGAGGCAGTCTACCGTGTACAAATCGATAGAGCTGGCAGGTATACCCCCTGTTCAATTTCGCCTCCCATCTCCCCTTAGCCTGGCATCTGGACACCTCCGGCCCCCTGTTCAATTTCCCCTCCCATTTCCCCTTAGCCTGGCATCTGGACGCCTCCGTCCCATGGGGCTGTGACACTGCTGCTCGGGGAATGGAGCTGTTTGTGCAGGATGTCAGATTGGATGGCAACGGGTGGCAGGTTTTAGCCATCATCATCGTCGTCGTCGTCTGTTCACGTGCAGGAGTGAAGTGGATCGCGACATTGCAGGGATGGCGATGGCACAGCGAGCGATCTTCAGATCAACAACGGCTGATGGCGACAACGACGATGACGACGATATAGATTCCAAACTCACTTCTATAAAACGTATTTTTGGTGTTTAGTTGCCATTCCCCCGCCCCCCCCCCCCCCCCACGACGGTGCGAAAGAAGTTTTAACAAACATACGTACGAGGGATGAAAGTTGGCGACGAAAGCTGACGCATCCCCTCCGCCCTTCCCGACGGGCCCTCGCAGGACAACTTCGGCTTCGACCTGCCGGCGGTGGAGGCGGCCACGAAGAAGCACGAGGCGATCGAGACGGACATCGCGGCCTACGAGGAGCGCGTGCTCACCGTGGTGGACGTGGCACGCGAGCTGGAGGCGGAGGACTACCATGACGTGCGGCGCATCACGGCCCGCCGGGACAACGTCCTCCGCCTCTGGGACTACTTGCTGGAGCTGCTGCGTGCCCGGCGCCGCCGGCTCGAAGTCAACTTGGCGCTACAGCGAGTCTTCCAGGAGATGCTGCACATCATGGACTGGATGGACGAGATGAAGGTGCTGTTGAAGGCAGAGCTCCCTGTTATCCGTCGCCATTATTTTATATATATAGCCGCGATTGTCTAATAATATCCAGCCTCGCTATCCATGGCCTCTGGCGTGTCTGGCAATCGGAAATAAAAGGGACGCTCCATTGGCGAGATGTTAACTACCTCGCATGGTATGCAGAAGGTTGTGACGGTTCCATCCCAACCCTGTCCCCTGTTGTATATTTGGAGTTTGCGTGTCTCTCTCTCCCCTCATGGTAGCGTGGATTTTTCTCTAGGTCCTGCGGTTTTTCTTTCCACATTTCGAATCGAACATGCATTTTGAATATACATTTCCACGTGATAGGCCACTTCGTTGAGCTATCATTTGTGGCCAGGATGCTTCTGAAAAAGAGCCGTATAGCTCAGCGAGCCTTACCTGGTTTAATAAAAATAGTTTATAGTAGTTTTTAGTTTAAAAGCAGGTTAAAGCTTTGGCTCACAGCATTTACCTAACAGTCCCAAGGATTCTAGATTTGAAGCTTTCGTGACTGTAAGGATCCATACTCTTTGGTTCTATTCGGTAAAGTCACGTAGGTAAACAACAAAAATCACGACGTTTCGGCCACTTGTGTTGTGGCCGAAACGCCGTGATTTTCGTTGTTTTGTTTTTTACCTACGTGACTTTACCGACTAGAACCAAAGAGTAAAGTCCCAAGAATAATAAGGATGGAAGAGTAGGCCAAATACCCTACGGAAGGCCATCCGTTTCATCTCCCTCCCCTCCCCTCCCCTCCTTCTGCGTTTTGTTCCCTCCCCCCCCCCTCCCCCACCGGGTGTCTGTCCCACCACCAGGTGCGGCTGCTGTCCCAGGACTACGGCAAGCACCTGCTGGGCGTGGAGGACCTCCTGCAGAAGCACGCTCTTGTCGAGTCGGACATCGGCGTGCAGGCGGAGCGCGTGCGCTCCGTCAACGCCACCGCGTACAAGTTCGCCGACAACGACGAGGGTAACGACGAGGGTACCATCGCAGGGTGGGGGGGGGGGGGGCGGGGCGGACCACGGCTGGGTCCGAATGTCCTTCGTTGGCGATTGGTCGATTGTAAAATAAGCAATCCAGCCTCGCTATCCAGGCCCTTCAGGCATGTGCTAAAGGGATGACTATGGCGTCGAGCCACTTCTCGTCGATCCACACAGCTTGCGGGCGTCCGCCTCGCTGTGTGATAGATGATGTGTGTGTGTGTTGAGTTTTTTTGTTATCGAAAGATGTATAAAGTGAAAAACTCCTTAAAAAAGTTTTTTTTTTAAAACAACGGTTTTATTAACAACTTAGTTTAACTCACGGTCAAGAAGTACGTCAATGATGCGGCGCCTGCTCCCACATCAACGCTTACTTAAATTAATTGATTACTTTATAAATGAATCTTCAATGTACAACTTTTGTTTGTGTGGAGTGAGGGTGCCCGTAACTCGTTCACACGGAGCAGGCGTGCCTGAGACGCGTGGCGCCTGAGACGCGTGGCTCCTGAGACACGTGGCAGCCTGTGACACGTGGCCCCTGAGACACGTGGCAGCCTGTGACACGTGGCAGCCTGTGACACGTGGCCCCTGAGACACGTGGCAGCCTGTGACACGTGGCAGCCTGTGACACGTGGCAGCCTGAGACACGTGGCCCCTGAGACACGTGGCAGCCTGTGACACGTGGCAGCCTGAGACACGTGGCAGCCTGAGACACGTGGCCCCTGAGACACGTGGCAGCCTGTGACACGTGGCAGCCTGTGACACGTGGCAGCCTGAGACACGTGGCAGCCTGAGACACGTGGCGCCTGAGACACGTGGCGCCTGCTTCTTGGGCGAGGCGATTCCAGAGTTTAGGGACCGGGACGTTATTTACTTACACGAATATATAAATAATATGGCGTCCATACAAAATGTTCATTGCTTTATGAGAGCCAATTTAATTAACAATTGATGCCGATTTTGATACAGGCATGCATTGTCACCGCATCTGAGTACGTGTGCAAAATTTGAAATTCATTGGACAACAGGAAGTGGACAAAATTTTGATTACAAGATTTGACCACGACGCAGGAATCAAGCTAAGTAAAGCCGTTGAAAAAAGGAAGTGTGCAGAGGTAAATTCAGGAGCTCTGTGTAAACATATCTCCCCTCCCTCCCTTTCTCCCCCTCTTCCTCGCCTCCCTCGCTCCCTCCAATCCCTCCACTCCCTCCCTCCCTCCACACCCCCCACACATTCCCACCAATCCCTCCACTCCCTCCCTCCCTCCACACCCCCCCCACATTCCCACCAATCCCTCCGCTCCCTCCACACCCCCCCCCCCCCCCCCACACATTCCCACCAATCCCTCCGCTCCCTCCCGCGCAGCGTACAAGCCGTGCGACCCGCAGATCATCCTGGAGCGCGTGGGCCACCTCGAGTACTGCTACCGGGAGCTGGCGGCGCTGGCGGCGGAGCGGCGCGCCCGCCTCGAGGACTCCCGCCGCCTCTGGCAGCACCTGTGGGAGCTGGAGGAGGACGAGGCGTGGATGCGCGAGCAGGAGCCGGCGCTCGCCTCCGCCGAGCTGGGGCGCGACCTCACGTCCACGCTGCGGCTGGCGGCGGCGCAGCGCGCCCTCGAGGACGAGATGGGCGGGCGGCGCGCCCGGCTGTCGCTCACCGTGGCCGGCGGGGAGGAGCTGGCGCGCCAGGGCCACCCGGGCGCCGACCGCATCCGGGCGCGCTCCGCCGAGGTGCAGGAGCAGTGGGCGCGCCTCGAGGACCTCGCCAGGCTGCGGCGCGAGCGGCTTCAGGTGCGGTGCGGGGGGGGGGGGGGGGGGAAGGTTGCTGTGGTGGTGGCCGTGGGGGCCCGTGGTGGCCGTGTCTTCACACCGGTGGTGGTGGTGGTGGATCGGAAGGGGCGTGGCAGTGTAGCGGTCAGCGTGCTGCTCAAGGTGCCCTGCGAAGCGAGTTGATTTCCACTCGCGACGAATATCTGAGCCGGTTCCTGCGCCTGCCCTAGGTCGACTCAGCCTCAAATTAGTACCTGGTAAGGTGTGTGAACATCGCCACTTTGGAGACAAAGGCGGCCGGGCGTGGCGCTGGCCACCCAGCCCCTCGTGTGCCGTGCCGGCCTTCATAGGTGGTGCTCGCTAACAGCACTAGCCCCTACAGTCTGTTAAGGCTATATGGGGATCTTTGTCTCTGTGTGTTACGTGTGTGTATTAATACGCGTGTGTGTGTCTGTGTGTGCACGTGGCTGACGCGACGCAGGAGGCGCTAGCGCTCTACCAGTTCCAGGCGGACGCCGACGACATGGAGGCGTGGATCGCCGAGGTGTTCCGCCTCGTGTCGAGCGACGAGGTGGGCACGGACGAGTACTCGACGCAGGCGCTCGTCAAGAAGCACCGTGACGTCACCGAGGAGATCGCGCAGCACCGGTAGAGTTCCATCGTTCCATTGATTTGGTATAGCCCTGTGAGCCATTCGGCTCTTGAATCGGGTGCAACCGCAACAAACAAAAGACAAAAACACGAACAAGAAAACATCTTAAAGTGACTACGTGTGACTGTGCAAACAGAAAATCCTGGAAAAAAAACCATCAAAATATTCCTGAAATAGCATCGTACACCAACGCTGTGTGCTAAAAATCCCAGTGGGATGCAAGTCAAACAACAACAACAACCACAAGACAACTAAGATTAAGGCCATCAGTCTAACTCCGTACTACAATAAACAAAAACATGGCCAAAACAAAAAAAAACTTTTCGAAATCACCAAAATAAAAGCCATGAATGCAATGTAAATGCAATGGTGGCGAAAGAGGGAGGGAGGGGGGACTAGAGGCTGGCGTGCAGCACGCACTGCACACGACCAGCGCACGAGGGGGTGTTGTGGCGAGCACTACGGCCGGCCGCCTTTGTCTCCCCAGCGTCGACCCTTACGTGCCCGGCACCAAGTTGATCATTGTTAAGGTCGAGTCGACCTATGGGGAGGTCCGCGACAGGGTTCAGATGTTCGTCAGTGATTGTTGGCCGTGAGCGGGAATCGAATCACCACCACTCCCCAGGCGCACACGCACGCACCCTCGCACGCTCGCTCCACAGGTGCGCTCGCTGCACAGGTGCGCTCGCTGCACAGGTGTGCACGCTGCACAGGTGCGCTCGCTGCACAGGTGTGCACGCTGCACAGGTGTGCACGCTCCACAGGTGCGCTCGCTCCACAGGTGCGCTCGCTGCACAGGTGCGCTCGCTGCACAGGTGCGCTCGCTCCGCAGGTGTGCACGCTCCGCAGGTGCGCACGCTGCACAGGTGCGCTCGCTGCACAGGTGCGCTCGCTGCACAGCGGTCACTTGAAGAGGTCTCGGAGGTAGCTCTTGCGATGTCCGCTTCCGCGGGCCGCTCTCTTGACGCGAAATTTCGCACGGCTCCGCGAGAGTCCCCCGCACGGGCACCGTGGCTCGTGACGTGACGCCGACAGCGCAGTCGTGAAAAGAATCCTCTGTAAAACGCGAACAAAGCACACGCGCCACCACCACTGCTCCCGACGATGACGACGCCCCCCCCCCCCCCCCCGACCCTCCAGGTCGGCGCTGGACGGCCTCTACGAGATGACGCAATCGCTGCCGGCCGAGGCGGCCAACTCCCCCGAGATCCGCGACCGCCTGGAGACGATCGAGGGCGAGTACCGCGACCTCGTGGAGTTGGTGCTCGTGCGCAAGCAGCGGCTGCAGGACGCGCTGGCGCTCTACACCATGTACAGCGAGGCGGACGCCTGCGAGCTGTGGATCGACGAGAAGGAGAAGTGGCTCGACGCCATAGTCATCCCCGAGCGCCTGGAGGACCTGGAGGTGGTGCAGCACAGGTGCGGTCGCGGGCTCGTCGCGGGGGAGGGGATGCTGCGGTAGTGAGGCGTTGTCCCTCTCGCCTGGTATGCCGGAGGTCCGATCCCAACCTTGACGACGCCTTTTGTATATTTGGAGTTTTCATGTTTTCTCTCTCTCTCTCCCCGTGGTCGCGTGGATTTTTCTCCAGGTCCTCCGGTTGTTCCATGCGCATTTAGAATAATGCGTTTAGAGTATTTGGCCGCGATGAATTCCCACGCGATAACCCACTTCGTTGAGCTATCATTTGTGATAGCCAGGTCGCTTATGAAAAAGAGCCACGTAGTTTAGTGGGCTCTAACCACCTGGTAAATAAAATAAATTAAGTTTATTTTAGAGGAGCCACTTTCCTCGTTTCACCCCTGGGATCTTGGGTGCACTGGGGTTTGTTTAACCCTTTCACAGTCGGGATCCCCGTCTGTTCTCGCGAACCTTGCGAAGCCCTCCTGTGGTGCCCGGTCCCGATGTTACGCGTGAGCGAGCTATGAATGTGGGTTTGGTTTGCAGGCCAAGCACGCGGTACGTCTGTTGCTGCCATCTAGTGGCAAAATCTGGAAAGGTAGATTACAGGGACTCCTCTACCTACGAACATTTGACTTTTGAAACTTTCAGGGATAAGAACAAACCTGTCCGTATGTCCAGTTTCCTGTTCGAACCGAGAGTCGTGAGTTCAACCGCCACGCAATAGATGGCGGTAGTGGGATCTACATTTGTAGAACGTGAAGAACCAGTGGCATCCACATCTACAGGAGATTATACAACTTTTAAAGCCATTTCCCGTGTTTAGTGTACATGCCGTACAACATGTTTGTAAAACACAGAGGTAAAGTTGGACTTATGAACAAATCGACTTACGAACAGACCTCTCTGGCACCTAACCCATGCATAAGTAGAGGAGTCCCTGTACTGCAAATAGGGACCACGGGTCAAAATACGACAAATTTACACTGGCCGAGTTCATAGGTGGCTGGCTGCTTCGTGACGTACAGTCAGAAAGCACGTGACCGTGATGGGGTTCAGGGATTTGTCTCCACGAGGATGCCCCGGGACTCATTGGTGCTGCCCTGGCTGATCCGGCTGTCCCTGGGGATCATTGTCATTCCTGTTGCTGGAAATAGATTTTAAAAAGTGTAATTCTTTTCAGCCTCCATGGTATGAACAAGTTGCAGTCTCCAACTCCAATTCACTCTATTTCGCTGGCCTTAACATGTGCTTACAATCAATTGTCCGGGACCATTGCCTGTCATGTATTTTGACTCTTAAGGCGTTATTGATGAACGTGTTGACCATCATGACAATTGAGAAAGGCGGTTGCACGTCCCGCCGCATGCTTTGACTTCAACAAATCCTCGTCATACGTCCGTTGTGCTGGTAATAACAACAGCGCTGTGGTCAGAGCACCGTCGGGGTGAAAGGTCGCGGATGCCGGTTGGCCGTCGACTCAGCCCGTCGTCCCTCCGTTGGCCGTTCCCTGTCCGCCGACGCGCGCAGGTTCGATAGCTTGGAGCCGGAGATGAACGGGCAAGCGTCGCGCGTCGCCACGGTAAACGACATCGCTCAGCAGCTCGCCAACACGGGTCACCCGAGCGAGGGCGACGTCCGCCAACGCCAGGACAACCTCAACAAGCGGTGAGCAACGAGCGGCTGCCCCTCCGGATGAGGCGGGGTCACCCAACTTGTCTGGGAGGCTCAACCCAGGCGTGTAGCGAGCTGCTGGCGGCGCCTCCCTCTGTCGGCCCCGCCCACTTTTAAACATCCCCCCGCCCACTCAGTCACTAGCCCCGCCCACTCCAAATAGCCCTCCGCCCACTCACCCACTAGCCCCACCCACGCAGTAAGTGGCCACCTCGTTCTTTCTCACGTTGGCTCATGCTCTTTCTTTGTAAATCCCTAGCTTTGCGTCGACCCAAACCATCGTTCCCCCGGAGTTTATAAAATGAGTACCAATTGTGGGAAGTCAAGAGTGGTAAGGAAAGACTGGTCCCTGTCATAGAAATGGGGAATTTGCACCATGGCTCAGAGCCACCAATGAAGATGAGCAATGCCTAATGGGGTGATCGAAATGTTAAAATAAAATTTCATTTGCATGAAACTCGTTTTCTCGGTGGTAAATAAAATCCACCGATCGGTGTCTTTGTCCACCACCTACGAATCTCAAAAACATCTGCCGTCTCAATTAGCTCTTCAACAAAAAAAAAACTTTTTCCCAAAAAACTCTCTTCCCCTCCGGGCTGCGGTTTATTTTTATTTCGTTCGACGGGCCCCCCCCCCCTCCGCCCCCCCCCCCCCCCCGCGTTGCGGGATGGCGTGTCGCACCGCAGGTGGGCGCTCTTCCGCGAGCTGGTGGAGAGGAAGAAGGGCGGTCTCTACTCGGTGCTGAGCGTCCAGAATTACTTCTTCGAAGTGACCGAGACCATGGCCTGGATCCGTGAGAAGACCAAGGTTTGTCCTCCGATCCCACGAATGAGCGATCGAGCGAACGAGCGAGTGAATGCCCGCCCACGGCTCAAATCGGATAACCGGACAACCTGACGGTTTCCCTCTAAATTTCGATTTAAAGCTTTCGTGACTGCAAGGATTCATCTTCTTTAGTTCTTTCGGTAAAGTCACGTAGAATGAGAATAAAATAATACAATTGATAAAATAAAATAACACAATAAAATTCTCACGACATTTCGGCCACAACACAAGCGGCCTTCATCAGGTGAAGTCCCTTCATCAGGTGAAGTCCCTTCAGGCCGCTTGTGCTGTGGCCGAAATGTCCTGAGAATTTTATTGTGTTAGTTTATTTTATCAATTGTATTATTTTATTCTCATTCTACGTGACTTTACCGAAAGAACCAAAGAAGAAGGTTTCCCTCTACTTTGTCGTGTGGCCGATGTTGGTGTAGAGCAACAACTGAGCGAGATGAATTGCGTCAGGAGTAGCGGAGCGGTGGCTTCGCTGTGGGTGATGCCTCCTCCTCCTTCGCTTGTTTGAATGCCGCGGGTATTTGAGTCGTCGTTTCACGTTGCACAATGCCGGAGTCGTTTTTGGTTGCCCATTTGCCCATCATCGAGTAACGGCGCGTGCCATGGTTTGTGCGGATGCAGTTACTTCACACCAGATACAGCCCAACAAGCGCCTGGTAATAATAGACAGTCAGTCACTTACCACCTGGCACGGGCTGATAAGATACTCTTATATTTTTATTTCATTTTAAAAGATTACAAATTCAAATCCTGGTCTAGTAGCCCTTTATCCCTCCAGGGACGATACAATTAGTATCACATTCATGGGATGTCGGCATAGGAGTGACTGGCCCCCGCCATAGGAATGCAGAGTTGCTGTCAGTTTCTCACATTTTGAGCAGGGAAGAGATGACTTTGACCCGATTGAGCCTGAATCTTTTTCCACTGTGACACAAATGTTCCTCGGAGTAAAGTTCACGCCTGTGGCCGAGGTCAGCCCAGAAGGCTCGCGGTCTCATCACATCTCGGCCACTACGTAGGGTTGAGCCCTGAGTAGCATCCCCATGGGCTAACGCCGTGATTCAAAGGCGACAGAGGCTGCTGTGGGGGGGGGGCCTACGTTGTGGGCAGCGGAGAGCAGTTCGTAAAAACAAATGCGTTGTTGCACTGCACTTCAACGCTCCCACACCGACGCTCCCCGCTTTCGCCGACCCGCAACCGATGAGCACGTTGAAGCACGGCCAAGTATCCCCCCCCCACGGAGATGCCCTCGCCCAACTGTGGATCGACGCCAGGCGCCCGACACGGGCAACGCACGCGTCAAAACGAGCGCTGATTCGCGCGCGATCGACTCGAACGCGCAGCCCCGCACGCCGAGCTCGCGCCGTTGGGAGCCGATCTCGAGCCGATCTCGAGCCGATCTCGAGCCGATCTCGAGCCGATCTCGAGCCGATCTCGAGCCGATCTCGAGCCGATCTCGAGCCGATCTCGAGCCGATCTCGAGCCGATCTCGAGCCGATCTCGAGCCGATCTCGAGCCGATCTCGAGCCGATCTCGAGCCGATCTCGAGCCGATCTCGAGCGTGTCTCCATCGCGGCACCGTCCCATCGGATCGTCGTGAACCCAGCGGGCCTAACCTCGCGGGAAGCCTCCTTTCTGCAACGCATTTGGAGCGCGGTGGATGCTGCGGGCGGCGCGTTCGTTCCCCGCGCGTTCCTGATGAGGGCGGTGATGGACGATTGGCCGACGACGGACTCGGCAGTGGCTCTGAATCCGACTGCGTGCTTCGTTTGGGCCCCCAGGTGATCGAGCTGACCGCCGAGCCGGGGAGCGACCTCGCGGCGGTCATGGCCCTGCAGCGCAAGCTCACGGGGATGGAGCGTGACCTCACTGCCATCCAGGTGCGACGGGGGGGAGGCGGGGGCAGTTGGGGGGAAGGGGGGGGGAGTTGGGGGGAAGGTGGGAGGAAGGTGGGGGGAAGGGGGGGGAGGTGGGGGAAGGTGGGGGGAGTTGGGGGGAAGGTGGGGGGAGTTGGGGGGAAGGTGGGGGGGAGTTGGGGGGAAGGCGGGGGGAGTTGGGGGGGGGAAGGTGGGGGGAGTTGGGGGGAGTTGGGGGGGGGGGAATGTGGGGGGAGTTGGGGGGAAGGTGGGGGGAGTTGGTGGGGAGTTGGGGGGAAGGTGGGGGGAAGGCGGGGAGAGTTGGGGGGAAGGTGGGGGGAGTTGGGGGGAGTTGGGGGGAAGGGGGGGGAGTTGGGGGGGAAGGCGGGGGGAGTTGGGGGGGGCAGGGGGAAATTGGGGGGGGGTGAGGTGTTTTCTACCTCGCCTGGTATGCAGGAGATCGGAGGTTCGATCCTCACCGTTGTCTATTTGGAGTTTGCGTGTCTCTCTCCCCGTGGTCGCGAGGCTTATTCTCCGGTTGTTCCCTCCACATTTATAAACGTGTGTTCAGAGTATTTGGCTGCTATGAATTCCCACGCGATAAGCCACTTCATTGAGCTATCATTTGTGGTGGCCAGGTCGCTTCTGAAAAAAAGAGCTGTGAGGTTTACCTGGTAAAATAAAAAATAGTTCAGTTTAGGGGCTTTCAAAGTGGAATTTTGGGTTCGGCCTCTTTGTAATGATCTTTGTAACGTTCTCTGGCCAAATTTGTGTCATCAAACCCCCCCTAATACCCGACACAAGCGTTTCGCAGCGCGCCGATTATTATTGCTTAAGTTCACTGGCCGGGTGAGTTGGGGAACACATTCTGAAAATCATATTCAGCAGTTAGATAAAATGGCAAATTCGTTTCTTAATTGCTGAATGTGGTTGTGAGAAGCTTGTTCAAACTCCTTTGCATCACTTGATAATTTTAATTTAATTTGGCTACATGTCAGGTGGTGGAGGGTCTTCAGACACACATTTGGCCAGATCATTAAGTGGCCGGACCAAAGCAAGTTCTGAATCGTAATATTATTGGCTGTGAAAACCTGCGTGGTAATTCGTGTCTTTGTCAGTGGTAGTAATTGTATGTGCGACAGTTGGATCACCATCATTTTATCAGGAAAGCAATCATCATCATCATAGATTGTAGGAATCCGATGAGCTATGAAGCTCTTTTTCACAGATGTCCAGTATGTCACCACTCTAATTATGAAAGCGTAGTTGTAGCTGTCATAGTGTCAAGAGGAGCAGTCGCATCACTATGATCATCATTATCAGTAATAGCGACAGCAACCATCAAACGTATCACAATTTAGAATCAATGCAGACATTGTCACCAGCAGCAACATTGACAGCATCACACCATCATGCACGTCATCTGCAGTAACATCGGCATCACCTCCGATTCGCACACCTGGCTATCCACGATGCGAAAGAAGTTTGACGTAGATGCCTACAGAAAGGTTGGGAACCGCTGCTCCTTTACTACGAACGAATTCAGAAATTTAACTGAACTGGCAAACAAAAGGTTAATGCTCAAAAGGTCTACAATTAAAAAATGCACCCTGTAGCCTGAGTTGCTTCTCAGGCAATATTTATTTACTTTTTTTTTATTTCACCGCGGTTATTATTGCAACTATAATTATCAGTCATCATCGTCAACAGCAGCCGTTCCATCACCATCATTACCACCATCATCGTTATCAATAACTCCACCACCATCGTCGGTGGGATTCACGCCGCCACGTTGACGCTCGACAGGCGAAGATGGGCGACCTGCAGACGGAGTCGGAGCGCCTCATTGTGGAGCACCCGGAGCAGGCGGACGCCATCCGCCAGCGCCTCAACGACAACCTGGAGGTGGGAGGCATGGCCAGGCCGCTGGGCCTCTCACCTGACACCTGTCCCGCTCACCTACCCCTGACCCCTCTCACCACACACCGGCCCCTCTCACCACAAAACACGCACCGCAGTCGTATTTGCCTGCATTCTGTAGTTTGCACAAATTGCATCAAGTCAAATTCATGCGCACACGACTCCGTGCGTCAGTTGTCAGCATAACGACAGCGCGGCTACCCCGCTGGCTACGACACCGGTGGTCGTTGCCCAACCTTAACTTTGACCCTTGACCCCGACCTCTACCCCGACTCCGCTAAGTTCAGTTCCGTGGTGTCGCTTGATCCCCCCGTGGTGTGTGCTAGACGCGTCTATTCAGGCTTGCCTTCCCATCACGTAAAAAAAAAACAATTAAAAGGGGGAAAAAAAGTTTATTTGCCTTTTATTTATTTATTTGAATTACTACTTACTTTCCCTATGCCATTCGTTTCGCGCGGTTGCAATTCACTCCGCTCAGTCGGTGTCAACCGCTGAGGTCTCGACGGGGTCTCTTTTCTCATTTCTGTTTGCCCTGGGTGCTCCCGGTACCGCCCCAGTTCCGCTGCGACGCGCACCGGTGCCCAATCCACCGAGGGCGACGTTGGCACGCAAAAAACCAACGATGACCACCCCGCTCCACCGCGCGCGTGCAGGTGTGGGACGAGCTGCAGCGCACGCTGCGCTCGCGCGAGGCTTCGCTGGGCGAGACGAGCAAGCTGCAGCAGTTCCTGCAGGCGCTCGACGACTTCCAGGCGTGGCTGTCGCGCACGCAGATGGCCATCGCCAGCGACGAGCTGCCCTCCAGCCTGCCCGAGGCCGAGACGCAGCTGGCGCAGCTCGAGGGCCTGCGCAACGAGATCGACAACAACCAGGTGCGGCGCACGCACCCCCACTGCTCCCCGCCCCCCCTCCCCAGCTGCCAGGTGACAGCACCCACATTACATTTCTGCTTAGGATCTCCAACGGGACTGGCGGCACCGCCGGCCTTCGCTCGATAACCACGCCGCTGGTGTACGATTAACCTTGTGCTTAGCGACCCCGTGTCCCTGACGACCTCGCTCCCTCCCTCCCTCCCCCCTCCTCCTCCCCTCCCCTCCCCCCCCTCCCTCCCTGTCACCGCTGCGTGCCGCGCAGGAGGAGTTCCAGCGGGTGAGGGACATGGGCGCGCTGCTCACGCAAGACCCGAGCGACCCGCAGCACGGGCAGCTGCAGGAGCAGCTGCAGTCGCTCGACGCCGGCTGGGACGACGTCCAGGCGCTGTGGGAGAGCCGCCACCGGCAGCTCACGCAGGCGCACGGCTTCCAGACGTTCCTGCGCGATGCCAAGCAGACCGAGGTGTTCCTCACCAACCAGGTGAGCGAAATGTCTGTCTTGAGATGGAGAGCGTCCAGGATCGGTGTTTGTTACAGGAGTTACGCAACGACCCATGTGCTCGTTCCCTTCCCTCCCTCCCACCGCGACGTGGCGCTCCGCGCGCAGGAGTACGCGCTGAGCCACGCGGAGATGCCGCGGACGCTGGAGGGCGCCGAGGCGGCCATCAAGAAGCACGACAACTTCATGAACAGCATGGACGCCAACGACGAGCGCATCCACGGCGTCACCGAGCTGGGCGCTCGCCTCGTCGGTGACGGCAACGTCAACGCGGACAAGGTCTCCGACAAGGTGGACACCATCCAGGAATGGTACGGAGCCCGCACGCACGCACGTACGCACGCACGGCTGCCTGCCTGCCTGCGTGGGTGTGGGGGTGTGTGCATGGACGAGGCTCGTGAAGGACGCTGCTTCTGGACAGTTGGAGTCAGTCGCCCTCCAACAACAACAGAGGGCAGAGGAGCGACGCTCGCAACATCGAGCGGAGCACCAGGCGGCTAAAATACAGGAAGCTGGCACAGTAGGGGGGGCACAGCTGGTGTGCATCTGCCAGTCATCTCAGTCAGCCCATGGCACCTGGGTCTGTCCCGTGACCTCCTGTCAGCGAGCCTTCGGACACTTCACGCGACCTCAAAGTGCACCTGGCCTGGCACAGGCGCCGTGGTGACGTCACCGTCACTTCGTGGCGAATGGCGAGTATTGATAATGGTGTTGGTGTGCAGTTTGTAAATATCGCCACTCGGGAGACAAAGGTGGCTGGGCGTGGTGCTGGCCACCCACCCCCTTGTGTAAAAGGCCTTCATAGGTGCTGCTCGCTAACAGCACTTGGCCCAGCGGCCTGCTCAGGCTATCGGAGGTTACAGCTTGTCTTCGTTGCCCTATGCATCCTGGTGGGGAGCAGTGATTAGCGCCACAAGCCACAAGCCTCGCGATTTGGGTTCGATTTTCGCTCGCGGCCAACATCAGTGGCGAATATGTGATTTACCGCTGGCGCATATTTGTCACTGTATGACATTAATATTCACGACATGACAATTATCGCGATATGAGTTTCCCATAACTTCGCAATTGCGTTTCACATTTCTACTGCATGGGTTTCTGTGCTTTGCTCTACTTCTGTACCAAACATGTTGCCCAAAAGTGTCCTTCAACTGCAGTCCCATTCGACATGTTGCTGCGAAGCACCGGTGTCATGTTGGTAGTAGCCACCATATCACTTTAGATATTGCAACTATTGCGATATTTCGTAAATATTTGTCCGGAAGAACGAGCGATCATTGTGATCGTAGGGACGGCATGCGTGGCGTCTCTTACTCCAAAAAAAATAATTAGCAACTATGTGATGATTAACGACGATTACATTCGCCATGAAAGTAACGGTATATAATCGCCACGCCCTCAATTACTGTGGAGAACATTTACAGGGGCATTCATTGAATGGACGATGCCGCCGACTTGCTCACCGCATCGGCGGACCCGGGGGACAGATTCTCCGAGACGTGGCTGATGGTGCCCACCATCACCGTGATCCGAGGTCCCCTCGTCCGGTTGGATCCAACGTCAACCGAATGACTCTTGACGACAATGACGGTAGTGATGATGATGATGATGAGATCACCATTGACGATTGGTGTCTGATGAATGCCCGGCGTTGGTTCTCAGGGCGAGGAGGAACCGTGAGGTGGCTGGGGACGTCCTGTTGAGGCTCAGGGACAACAGGGACCTCCAGAAGTTCCTTCAGGAGTGCCGCGAGGTGAGTTTTGGGCAGGAGACCTCCCTTATTTGCTAACTCGCTCGCTCATTTACTCATCCACTATCCCACCCAACCAACTCACTCACAAACCCACTCACCCAATGAGTCACTCATCCACCCACCCACTCACTCATCCACTCACCCACTCACTCATCCACTCAATCACGCCCTGACGTACTCACCCATTCACCTATTCACCCACATTGTCCACTCAGTCACCCACTCACCCACTTACCCACTCACCTACTCACTCACCCACTCGCTCACATTGTCCACTCACTCACACACTCACTCACCCACTCATCAACTCATCCACTCACATCGCCCACTCACCGGCTCTTCCACTCGCCTCCTCTTCCCCCCCGCCTCCGACCCGCTCGCCCACTCACCCCGCTCCTCCGGTGTGCGTGTGCGTGGTCGTCGCCACAGCTGACGTTCTGGGTGAACGAGAAGATGCTGACGGCGCAGGACACGTCGTACGACGAGGCCAGGAACCTCCACTCCAAGTGGCTCAAGCACCAGGCCTTCATGGCTGAGCTGGCCTCCAACAAGGAGTGGCTGGAGAAGATCAAGAAGGTTCGTGCGCCGTGCCGGCGCTCGTCCGTGTGTGCTCGCGAGCACGCGTTCACCTGTGTGCGAGCGGTAGCGTTGGTGGTTGGTGGTGGTCAGCTCACTGCGCTACGAACCGCGGCGGCCCGAGTTCCACTTCCGCTCCCGACCGATAATAGCGGCGGCGAACATTTGAACCGGTCCCGGGCCTCGCCTACGTCGTCTCGGCCTCAAATGAGTACCTGGTGCAGTGCGTGAATATCGCTGCTGGGGAGACAAAGCCGGCTGCGCGTGGCGTTGGATCGCTATCACCAATCCCAGATCCGCTCTCTCCCCGCCCCTCTTTTCCCCCGCGCGGCAGGACGGCGAAGCGCTGATGACGGAGAAGCCCGAGACGGAGCCCGTCGTGCGGCGGGAGCTCGCAGAGCTGCAGCGGCTGTGGCGAGAGCTCGAGTCCACCACGCAGGCCAAGGCGCAGCGCCTCTTCGACGCCAACAAGGCGGAGCTGTTCACGCAGAGCTGCGCCGACCTCGACAAGTGGATCGGGGAGCTCGAGTCGCACACGCAGTCGGACGAGTACGGGAAGGACCTCACCGGCGTCAACATCCTGCTCAAGAAGCACCAGGTGGATGCGGGCGTTGCGGTGGGTGGGCGCGTGGGGGCGAGGTGGGGGCTAGGGACTCGGTAAGGCCCCTCCCCTCCTCAGCCCCGTCGGCCGAGGCTTTGGTTCGGAATCCAGGATTGTGAAGCTGTATGTTTGTTGAACTTCTCTCGCACCGTACGTAGCCAACTCTGCTAATCGGAGGTGCTGGGGAAGGACAACAAGCCTAGTGGGTGAGCTGATGATGGTCTCCAAAGAGTCCATTCCGTAATGGATTTGCAATGTTCTTTTTTCGAACTTAGTTCCTCAGCCGATACATGTTTACGCTCGGCATCCAGTCCGTTTCACCGCAGCAAAAATATTAAAGTGACTTTTCATTCCGTTGGCCTATAGACATTTCCGGGGCAACATTTGTTGCTCTTGAGAACCAGTCCGTTTTACCTCGGGGGTCTCCTAATTCTTGGGGTGCCGACAATGGGACCCCAAGTCGATGAAATAAAAACGTGCTTTTTTCAAACACGTACTTCAACGTCGCTAAACTCGGCTGACTTGGTTGACTTCACGCGGCTGCGGCAGGCCCCCGTCCACGGCGTCCCGCCCGGCGTGCGCGGGGATAGCGGTGAAGCTTTCACTCCTCCTTCGAGTAATTTTCCGTGGCGCTGCGTGAGCACATCAGGAGTAGCAACAACAAAACAGAAACGTCAATGTTTTCACGGAGCGAGTACAGCAGGGTCCTTAAGGAATATTGCACAGCCAGCAAACCGGGGAGGCCAGTGCGTGAGAGACCGGCAACCCGGGGTCCATTCCTGGCCACGGGCACGAACATCAGCGTCCAGTGATATTTGAACCCGATGATGCTAGACCACTCCGCACTTCTTTTTCCTTTCTTTCCAAACCCGCACTGACCAGAATGGTGAAGTATGCCCAAACAACCGGGCGCACTTTATTCAACCTAAGGGTGAGAACTCAAGAGACCCACCCGGACGAGTCTCATTTGCGAGGGGTGTGACCTTGGCTCGATGACTGGGGAACGGAGGAAGAAGACCCGAGCCGGGTCGGCTTTGGCGCGGGGGGAGAAACCGCGAAGCTCGATCTGACCGCGTGCGGTGGGGTGCGCGTTGTTTCCCGTCCTCCGCGGCAGATGATCGAGAACCAGATGGAGGTGCGCAAGCGCGAGGTGGAGGAGCTGCAGACGCAGGCGTCGGCGCTGCGCCAGGAGGGCCAGAGCCCCGACGAAGCGGACGGCCTGGAGCGCGTGGTGGTGGTGCGGCTCCACCAGGTCATGCAGCCCCTGCAGCAGAGGAAGGGCAAGCTGCTCGCATCGAAGGAGGTCCACCAGTTCAACCGCGACCTGGAGGACGAGATTGTGAGTGGGTTCATTGTTCGAAATGAAATATTTTCAGAACGCGAATTTGATATGGGAAGTGACGAATGTGTTAGGGGATGCATTTTAAATATATATATAACGTGGACGCGGATTGGATGTAACGCGATCGAGTGAACGGAACCGCGGCGCGCAAGTGGGATTGGGCAGTTGTACGGCTGCCTCGGCGAAGCATCACACAAAGCGGGATGCTGCTGGATGCTTCTAGACGCTACCCACACGCCCTCCGTCTTTGTTCAGCCTGCGTACCCATCTCACGTGTTATCGCGGACTGTGCTTTACCCTATATAATATATTATTTATTATAACGCCATTTTTCCAAAACGCGATGCTCTTCAGGAACGCAGCTACCGCTTTATAGGAGAACAGACTGTATGTGCTTTTCGATCATCGATATCATCATCATCATCGTCAGCCATGATCTATCCACTGCTTTATGAAGGTCTCCCCTTAAAAACACATTGTTAGATTGCCAGGCGAGGTGGTGGACACATCTGTTCCAGCAAAATGGATGCACGCATGCTAGACTATGCAGAGGTGAAGCAACGGTGCCCAACGCTCCCGCGTCGCCAATGACGACCGTACAGCGCTGAAGAGTCCTAATCATCCCCCCCCCCGACCGTCTCTCGCAGCCGCGCGGCGCGACAGCCCTCCTCGCCGCCGCTGCACGCGAGCCGATTTCAGTTCCCCACCCCCGAGGGTGGACGTCCGCTTGCGCGCGTTCCCACCCTGTGGCTCTCACCACCGTCGGTGGTTTCCACTGCCAGCAATCCTCCCTTCTAGCGACTTCCAGTCCGCGTGGCTCATGCAGATTTGGATGCCTTGCAAAGGGTGTCCAATTGGTGTTCGGACATCTTAACAACTCCTGTTGTATTGCTAGAAAGGGTACACACCTATTACTATTTTCATACTTTGATGCCGGCAAGGAGGTCCCATGATGTAGCTGCTCACCCCGCGCCATAAATGATTTGATTGTGCATTGTCCTTGTACTGTTCGCCTTTTGGCGTTCTCTGGCCTGACACTGGTGACACTAGGCCATAAAGAAGCCTGTCTCTGGTGCAGGCCAATCCGTTTCAAAGGCAACACGTGTATTATCAGAGCATGTTTTGTTTGTATGCATGTTCACCACAAGTACGTGTGGTGAACATGCAGACTTGATGCCTTGGAAAGTGTATCGATTTGGTGCGTGAACATTTTAACACCTTGTTGTATTGCTAGGAAGGGTAAAACCTATTCTTATTTTTCAGACTTCTAGTCCGTTTACTTTCCTTCTGTGATTTTGCATGTGTTCTCTGAGCCACGTCTTCCTCGCTCTTTCTGTCTCTCCACTAGAATTATCTCTCTCTCTCTCTCCACGCTCCTTCCTGACTCGCGAGCCCCCGGGCGGTTCGTTTTGGGCCTAGCGCGGGCGTTGTTTTGGCGAAGGTTTTTCATCGCAACGTTTCCCCCCTTCGTCTTTCGCCCTCGCCCCGTCGCAGCTCTGGATAGATGATCACATGCCCCTGGCGTCGTCGACCGACCACGGGCACAACCTCCAGACCGTGCAGCTGCTCATGAAGAAAAACCAGGTAAAGCGTGACATCGATAGCGCACACCCAGCATCCTCCCTTACACGACAGGGAGGTTTGGAATCGGGGCCCGCTTGAAGTGGCACAGGTGCGTCAAGAGGTTCAGAGCGCTAAGCTGGCAGTGATGAAGTCCTGGGTTTGAATCCAGGCCCGTGATTAAACTAGGTTCTCAAGTGCAGTTAGTTGATGGTCTCAGCCTGGTCACCAATGACTCCATGACAATTTATTTTATTCTGCACTTCCATTTGGCTCAATTCCAGCTCGGAAAATGTAAAAATTGCTTTGACATGCGACGGACGGTACTTTCATGTACAGAGTAGGTGGGAAAGTGCTGCCCTCTATTGGCTGGATCAGAGCATCACTTGAAGGGATTTCAAAGGTAGCTCTGTGATATCCACTTCCATGGGCCGTTCTCTAACATGAAGGGGGATGCACCGTTCGCGATGGACTTTCCGTCTCGTGAAGACGCGAAGCCGATAACGCGATCGAGATAAAGCTCGGGTGGGGGGGGGGGCGGAGAAGACAAAGGCGACATATTTACTGTTCACCTAGCCCACCGGACTGTACCAGGTCAAGACGAATTGTTGAGGTCACAGTTCACGTGCGTAAATGGAACCCACGATATCCCCCCCCCCCCCCCGCTTGTGTTTGCATTCACGTTCGTAGCGGCGTGATGGCCTAGGCCTGGTTCCTGCCCCTATTGTGAGCTCTCCGCGATGGCTCGCACGCTCACAATCGCGTGACTCCTTCATCCCCCACCTGCGGAGGAGAGGAGCCGCCCCCTCTCTTGGGGCATTGCACCTCCGATTAGCGCAGTTGGCTACGTACGTTGCGAAATAAATTCACTGTACGTGCATAAATCTTTCTTACCGTACATATGTATATATCTTGAAGAAGTTCGACATACAGAGCTCTGCTTGTATGTATGTTGAACCTCTTTCATACTGTACGTAGCCAACCGCGCTAATTGGAGGTGCTGAGAAGGACAACAAATTAAACTAACGCAGCTAAGTTCCGTCCAGTGCCTACAGGACAAGGGGACGCCAGCTCGCTGCAGCGTCAGATCCTCTGACAGATATCTCCTCGATGGGTCGGCGAGGGGGGGGGGGGGGTGGGGACATTGCAGCGGCGTACCTGACCGCACGTATCTCCCCCCCATCGCTGCTGTCGGTGCGCGCCAGACCCTGCAGAAGGAGATGCAGGGCCACGAGCCGTGGGTGCACGACGTGTGCGAGCGCGGGGAGCGGCTGGCCGCGGACGGCGGGCCTGACGCGGCCGAGGTGCGCGCGCGCATCGGCACGCTGCGCGACCTCTGGGCCAGGCTGGCGACGGAGGCCGAGCGGCGGCAGGGCCGCCTGCAGGAGGCCCTGCAGGCGCAGCAGTACTACTTCGACGCGGCCGAGGCGGAGGCGTGGATGAGCGAGCAGGAGCTGTACATGATGGGCGACGAGAAGGCCAAGGTAAGGACGGGAAGAGAGATTTGGCAGTTTTTTTTTTAACCCCCAAGGTCAAATGTTTCATTGAGTTGGGGCAATTTATAGGGGCCGGATAACAATGGCCGTGTCAGTGGTGCCGTCAAGAGCCTCTGTTCCAATCCTGATGTCCGCCTGCTTGGTGAGATTAAAGCAGCTGTATCGGGGTGGAGCGAGTTAATAATAATAATAATAGCTTCACAAACACCGTAGTGATGTCACTGCAGTGGCTGTGCCAGGTTTACAGCAAAGCGACACTTTGTGGAGTTCCAAAAGCCCAATTATAGGAGGTCACATGACATACCTAAGCATTATGGGAAGTTAAGTCTCGCCATCAAAAGGCAACAGGACAGGTCCAGGTAACATGTGAGGAGTGCCGAAAGCTCATTGGCTGCACATCACAGGAGAGACCCAGGTGCTGCGGGTTAAGTGGTGACGAGATACACCCCGGTAGTTGTGGAAAGATAGAAATTGTCATATCCACAACTCTTACTCTCCGCCATAACAATCGTTATCGTGATAATCTGAGCTTGTAATGCACCACCACTCGCAGCATTCGTAGAGAGAGAACGACTCGGGAGAGCGAGGAGGAACCGCGGACAAGTGGGAAGGCAGCCACGCGCTGAGGAGTCGGTGCCAACAATTCCCCAAGCTCTGCGGTCCTCTCTATATAGGGGTGTTATCGGCCAATGAATGATACTAACGAGTTGAGTGTATCAGCCCAGGTACTGTTGACGATACATGCGATAATGCAACGGTTGAATAATTTAAATGCATTGTTATGTTCACGTATCAGAGCGCGTGTGGGAGAACCTGTCATTTTACAGATGCTTCACGTGACCCCCGCCACTTGCAGACACTACCACATTCACCACAATGCAACGTTAAAAATATATATTTTTCATTTGAATCGCAAACACGAATCGTAGCATTTCATCAATTATGAGGAGGAGGGGGCAAATGCCTTGTTTACATGCCTTCCAATCACAAAAATCCCATGCTAAATGGTAACATTGTATTTTTCAGCTAATTTGGTTCTGTAAAGTATGTAAGTGTGGTTTAGGATCCTCAGCCTGCGTGGCAAGGGGAGTCCCTCATCCAGCAGATTGACACGATGGATATTCACGTGCATGTGTTTATATCCTTTGTGTGTTTATGGTATTTAACTGCTATGAATTTCGACTTGATAAGTCACTTCGTTGAGCTATCATTTGTGGCCAGGTCGCTTCTGAGAAAGAGCTACAGGGTCTCCTCTATTTACGAACGGGTTAGGTTCCACGGGTCTGTTTGTAAGTCGATTTGTTCGTAAGTCAAACTTTACTGCTGTCGATTCCAAACATGTTGTATGGCATGGACACTAAGTTGTATAATCTCCTGTAGATGTAGATGCCACTAGTTCTTCATGTTCTGCAGACTTAGACATATGAACAAGTTTGTTCGTATCTCTGAAAGTTTGTAAGTCGAATGTTCGTAAGTAGGTGAGTCTCCTCCATCTCGGCGTCATCAGTTTAGTTTTAACATCTTGCCACCGTAACGTGCGGGTGAGCAATGTTGAGGGCACCCGAGAGAGGGTGTCTTCCCGATGCCTCTGGCTAGGAGATGGCTCACGCGCCAGGGCCGTCGTCCGCGCGGTGCCTCGTGTGAGAGAGCAGGACGAGCAGAGCGCCGTGGCCATGATCAAGAAGCACCAGAACCTGGAGCAGGCCGTGGAGAACTACGCAGAGAACGTGCACCAGCTGTCGGAGATCTCGCGGAGACTCATCTCCGACGGGCACCCCGAGAGGTAGGAGTTGGGGGGTGGGGGGGGGGGCACACGCCTGGTAGGCCGCCCACCGAGACGGTGTCGACAACTCGTTTCACAATCTCACGGAGCATTGCATTATGGGTAACGCAATCGATAAACACTTCCCCTCAAGGAGATTAAACAGTCACACAAACTCTGGTAATCCTTGCAGCAGTGTAGCGGCTTTTGGCTCGCCACTGCTGCATCGCCCGCTTTCAGATGCGCTTCTGCGGCCCTCTGGAACGATATTCGGAAGCCACTGGAGCAACGCACTTTCAAATCTAGATAAAAAAAAAACTGATTTATGTGTTTAGTTTGTGGTCCTTCCCCTGCACCTCCGATTAGCATGTGTAGCGATTTCGATTTGGTGACTTAGCAGAATAGCGCTGGTTGCTGGCAGGGAAGGGGATCTGCAGCTACAGCTGCCCTGACTGACAGCAGGTCACGTGATAGACCAGAGAGGGATGTAGGGGAAAGGTCACGGAAGGGGCATATCGAGAACCCGCTAGTAGGTTCCAGAAGGGGGGCGTGGCCGGGGGCAGAGCCAGGCCACGCTGACAGTAAAAGAGGGGCCCTGGGAAGGGACCTGGGGCTGTCGTGTGGAGTGGGATTCCCGTCGTGCTGCTGCTGCTGCAGTCTTCACCATCTCAGTCAGGTAGTCTGACAGCTGTCCTGACTGGGAACCGTAGTTACTAAAGTGTGAACTGTTAAGGCTTCATACTTTTTGTTTTTTCCGGTAACGTCACGCAGGTAAAATAAATAAAATAGAACAATTAAATCACGACGTTTCGGAGGCAATACAAGCTTCCGTCTTCAGGTGGAACAGTCACAGCATAATATCTGTGTCAAGTGCACAGTTCAGAGACGTCTCGGAACTGTGCACTTGACACTGTTCCACCTGAAGACGGAAGCTTGTGTTGCCTCTGAAACGTCGTGATTTAATTGTCGGGGCAAGTGCTGTTAGGCCCAGGACCGGTTAAGGTATTCCTCAATGGTGTTGGCCGAGAGCGGGAATCACACTCGGGGCCGTGACACCACCGCTCCCCATTTATGCATGCACACACACACACACGCAATTGCACACGGGATCCGGTGAGGCAATTGATTTTTCTCCGCTCGAATAACCGACGCGCCCTTTGACGACGCGACCTTCCCGTCGCCCCCCCCGCCCCCCCCTCCGGCGTCGGCGCGGCCAGTGAACGGATCGGCCTTCGACAGTCGCAAGTGGACCGGCTGTACGCGGGCCTCAAGGACCTGGCGGAGGAGCGGCGCGGCCGCCTGGAGGAGTGGCAGAAGCTGTTCGTGCTCAACCGCGAGGTGGACGACCTGGAGCAGTGGATCGCCGAGCGCGAGGTGGTGGCCGGCTCGCACGAGCTCGGCCAGGACTACGACCACGTGACGGTGAGGCTCGTCCGCCGCTCCGCTATCGCAGCGCGTTCACGCGAACGCACGCACGCGAAGGCAGAGACATCGCCCGGATAGATTGAACGGACTTTTGCGGCAAGTGCTGTTAGCGAGCACCCATGACGGCCGGAAACGGCACACGAGGGGGTGGGCGGTCAGCACTCAAAGACAAAGATCTGCCCCGTATAGCCTGAACAGACTGTTGGGGCAAGTGCTGTTGGCAAGCACCAATGAAGGCATGCACGGTTACACGAGGGGATGGGTGGCCAGCACCACACACCCGGCCGCCTTTGTCCCCCAAGTGGTGAGGTCTACACACTGCACCTGGTACTCATTTGAAGCTGAGGCGACCTCGGGTATGCCCAGGACTAATCTGGATAATCGCCACTGCTGTTAGCCGAGAGCGGGAATCGAACTCGATTCGCTGGGTTTGCGGCGCAGCACGCTGACCGCTGCGCCACCGCTCCCCAAAACACACGCACACTCACCCACACTAACCCGGAGCACCCGGATGAAAATACATGCGCGTGAGGGGGGCAACACTTCATTCCCGTACAGATTAGTTCAGTCGCTGTACCGCCTTCTCCTGGCGAGCCAGGGTACACGATGCCTCCTGAACGCCCACGGGTAGAAGGGAGTTTCACAACATTTGCACAATGATGCACCAACCCTTGCTGCCTCCGCAGTGCTGGATTGCAGGCCACGTGCAGCAGCGTAACCTCCACCGTCCGGCCTGTCTTCATCTTTCTTGTTATTTGGAATTTGCATGCTCCTCTCCCTGTGGTCGCGTGGATTTTTCTCCGGGTCCTCCGGTGTCTCCCTCCGCATTTAGAATCAACGTCACGCCTTCGGAGTATTTGGCCGCCGTAAATCTCCACGCGACAAGCCACTCCGTTGGGCTCTCATTTGTGATAGCCAAGTCGCTTCTGAACAAGAGCTGTACAGCTCGGTGGGCCTCACCTGCTGAAAATAATTTTTCGTTGCGTGTGTGCCCGCGCGCGTTTCCCCGCCCGGGACAGATGCTGCAGGACCGCTTCCGCGTGTTCGCGCGCGACACGGTGCTCATCGGCCAGGAGCGCGTGCAGGCCGCCAACGAGATGGTGGACGAGATGATCGACAGCGGCCACCCCGACGCCGCCTCCATCGCCGATTGGAAGGACGGCCTCAACGAGGCGTGGGCCGACCTCCTGGAGCTCATCGACACTCGCACGCAGGTACGATGCGCCATGGTAGGGCAGTGAGGACGATTAATTGAGCCATGATGGATTCATTCACTCCGTCTGGTCACCCATTGTCGGTGGTCAGTCGCCTCCCAATCACTCTTGAATTGCTACCTACCACGGCTGTTTTAATTTGAAGTTCGCTCGTTGATTTCCCTCCAATCTTGTTGAGTACTCGGGCTACGAGACACTGACGGTTTCGTCCCATCCATCACACTGTATTCAACCACTGCAGATCACAACAACACGCCCCCTAACTCACTCACACACTGAACAATTCACTAATTTCCTCACCTACTCCCTCAGGCACTCACTCACCCAACTACTCACCCTCTCACCCATCCACTCACTCACCCACTCATCACACTGCAGGTCACGACCCTTCTCTGTCCGCTTCTTTCTTCTGACTGCTCCACTTTGGAATTCGCTCCCATCTCCTCTTTTCAAAAGTGTTTATGTAACCTCGCTCAGTTCAATAAAGCCACAAACTTTTGGCGTAGTACCGTTTGTGACTGGACGCTTGGTAATCTGGGCTCTTGGTGCCTGTCCTAAGCAACGGTATAACAACAAACGCCCACACACATCCTTGCTCCCTCCCCCACTCCCCGTGCTACCGTGCACTTGCAAGAGCACCGCGGTGGCGAGATGTTGACTACCTCGCCTGTTATACAGGAGGTCGTGGGTTCAATTCTGACCCTGACGCTTGTTGTATATATGGAGTTTGCGCGTCTCTCTCTCTCACCGTGGTTGCGTGGAATTTTTTTCCAGGTTCTCCGGTTTTTCCCTCCACATTTAGAAACATGCGCTTAGGGTATTTAGCTGTTATAAATTCCCCACGTGATAAGCCACTTCGTTGGGCTATCATTTGTGGCCAGGTCGCTTCTGAAAAAGAACTACGTAGTTCAGTGAGCCTTACCTGGTAAAATAAAAATAGTTTCAGGAGTTATAAATGGTGGGTGTTTATATTTCTGCAAATAGATTGCTAAAGGACTGAGATTAACCGAGAAAATCATCGTTTAACTCCTTTTGCAGCAATATAAATGGGCCGGTACACGACGGTTCCCCCCCCCCCCCCCCCACACACATTTAAAAATACGAGTACAGTAAAACCTTGGATTGGGAGCATAATTCGTTCCAGAAACGTGTTTGTAATCCAAAGCACTCGTATATCAGTTGTGATCACGTGACGCTCGGCAGACAAAGCGTATATACTTGCTACTCTTATTGCAAGACCTCACTCGTTTATCAAATTAATATTTACATAAAAATTTTTGCTCGTCTTGCAAAACACTCGCAGACCAAGCTACTCGCAATCCAAGGTTTTACTGTACTTTGCTGCTATAAATGTCCACACGGCGGTAGCGTCACTTTGTTGCGCTATCATTTGTGGCCACGTCGCTGCTGAAAGAGGGCCCTGCAGCTCATTGGGCCTTACCTGTCCTCTGTCTCTCCCCCGCCCCCCTCCCCACGGCCGCCCATCGTCCTCCGCCGCAGGTGCTGGCGGCGTCGTTCGAGCTGCACCGGTTCCTGCAGCAGGCGCGCGAGGTGCTCGGTCGCGTCACCGAGAAGCACCAGCAGCTGTCGGACGACCTGGGCCGCGACCAGCACTTGGTGGAGAGCCTCCAACGCATGCACGCCGCCTTCGAGCACGACATACAGACGCTCGGCTCGCAGGTGCGCGCGTGCACGTGCGTGTGTGTGTGTGGGTGCGCGCGCGTGTGTGTGTGAAGGGGGGCGGTGGTGTAGCGGTTAGCGCTGCGCTGCGCTGCGAATCCGGCAGCCCGAGTTCGATTCCCGCTCACGGCCAACACCCAGTGACGATTATCTGAACCGGTCCCGGGCCTCCCTGAGGTCGGGTCAGCCTCAAATGAGTAACCTGGTGCGGTGTGTTTAACATCAGCAATTGGGAGACAAAGGCGGCCGGGCGTGGTGCTGGCCACACACCCACTCCCGTCGTGTTCCGAGGGGTTTGGTAGCGAGCTCCCATAGGTGCTGCTCACTAACAGCACTTGCCCCGACAGTCCATCAAGGCTATACGGGGGGATCTTCGTCTTTGTGCGTGTGTGCGTGTGATGCCGTGGGCTGGACCAGCGGTCCCCAACGTTTTTGGCACCAGGGACCGGTTTCGTGGAAGACAATTTTTTTTCACGGACCGGGGGGGAGGAGTTCATCATTGGGTCTTCCCCCCTTTTCAAAGAAGCTTTCCAGCGACTTTTTGTTTTTAACTCATGTTGGCTACTAAGGGGTTAGAGCTTGTGGGCTTACCAACACTGTGACTGAGACAAGTGCGCGGTGCGGGAAAGAGGCGCGGATGAAAGTGGTAAATAATAAAATAATGGGGGCGGGCCACGCGCAGACTCACTGCTCTCACCTCCTGCTGTGCGGCCCGGTTCTTAACAGGCCACGGACCGGTACCTCCATCCTCCTAACCCACGGACCGGTACCGGTCCGCGGCCTGAGGGGTTGGGGACCCCTGGACTGAACTATTTGGGTCTAGCAGGCTGACTTCAACTTGAGACCATCCACACGTTACGTTTGAGACCCAGATTTGGTCACGGGTGGCTGACAGTCGATTCCCAACGCAGGAGAGCAGTGGTGCCGGCTCCTCGTCTCTGACATTGTACGCGCTTAATCGGAGACATTCTTCCATCTTCGCGCCTGTGACCCTCCACGGGCCGTCCGTCTGCCAACCCCGCTTACGACCTCCATCCTCCTAACCCCGCCACACCCACCACCCTCCCCTCCGTTCCCCCTTGGCCCCCCGCCCCGTCGCTCGCTTCCCGGGCTCGGCGCTCGAGCAGGTGAAGCAGATCGAGGAGGACGCGGCGCGGCTGCAGACGGCGTACGCGGGCGAGAAGGCGGAGGACATCGCGCGGCGCGAGCGCGAGGTGGCGGAGGCGTGGCGGGCGCTGCTGGACGCGTGCGGCGAGCGGCGCGTGCGCCTCGTGGACACGTCGGACAAGCTGCGCTTCTTCCGCATGGTGCGCGACCTCCTGCTCTGGATGGAGGGCGTGCGGCGACAGATCGACGCGCAGGAGAGCCCCCGGTCAGTGCGGCGGGCGGGCACGTGTGCGCGTGTGTGTGCGCGCGGGTGCGTGTGTGGTGGCGCTGGCCACCCACCCTCTTCGTGTCCCGTGACGGCCTTCATCGGTGCTCGCTAACAGCACCTGCCCTAAAAGTCTGTTAAGGCTATACGGGGGGGGGGGGGATCTTTGTCTTTGTTGTACAAGCGCCGTAGCGACTTCACCACCGCAACAACCACCACTTAGTGGTGAATGGCAGTGGTTGTTGTGTGTGCGTGCGTACGTGTGTGTGAGCAAGTGAGCGTGTGTGTCTGTGCGTGCGTGGGTGCATACACGTGTGTGTGTGTGAGCAAGTGAGCGTGTGTGTCTGTGCGTGCGTGCGTGCGTACGCGTGTGTGTGTGTGTGAGCGTGCGGAACTTTGTTGTGGATAGTGTCAGTCGCGTTTGCGTGTTTGCTATTGTTCCATCGTGTGAGTCGTGGGTTTTCACGGTTGTGCTCAATCGCTCAGGTCCAATTCAATTTGAGTCACACCAATTTGAGTCGCATCAAGAGGCCACTCTGACCCAGAATTAAGCGGTGTCCCTTCACGGTCTGTAAATCTGCCATGTGAAATTAATATTGTTAATAGTTTACATTCCAACCTTTTTAAACTTTGCTGGAGGCTCGCAATTGGACAGGCCTGTATAGCAAGTCTTACATTTTGTAAGATATTTTATTGTCTCTTTCCTCAATTGTGTCCTGCTTTTGTATCCTTATCCTGATTGTGCAATTGCGACAAAGAATCCACTTGGAACTTTCAAAGAGGAGGCGCATCACCCCGCATTAGAGAATGGCCTGCGGAAGCAGATGATACAGAACTACTCGTGAAATCTCTAGAAGTGGCCTTTTATCCATGCTTGGGGGGCAGCACTTTCTTACAAGCCCTGCTGTAGAGATAAACATTCCATCCGATAATTTAAAATCGCAGAGCTGAAATCTACCCAAATTATGCACAAAACCAACTTTTTTTTTCCCCGTTAAGTCATTGATGTCCGACCCAAGACCATCATCTCACGGACACTAGAGAATCCGGTTTAATCACAAGCGGCTGATACCCGGACTTGAACTCAGCATCTTGGCGGTGCCGGTTCAACCCCGTGACCTCCGATGACAAATACGACAACGATAATAGCGACGACGATGGCGACGACGGCGACGATGACGCCGACGACGATGAAAATTACAACGCTGATTTACGGAGACGGCGATGGGTGACCGGTGGCGTTGGTGGCGGTGGCCGTGCCCATCGTCCTTCCCAGGGATGTGTCGTCCGTGGAGCTGCTCATGAACAGCCACCAGGGCATCAAGGCCGAGATCGACACTCGCAACGACAGCTTCGCCGCCTGCGTCGAGCTGGGCCAGGCGCTGCTGCAGCGCCAGCACTTCGCTTCCGCAGAGGTGAGCCCCCTACCCCCACCCCCTACCCCCACCTCCCACCTCCCACCCCCTACCCCCACCTCCCACCCCCACTACCCACTTCCCACCCCCCACTTCCCACCCCCACCCCCACCTCCCACCTCCCACCCCCACTACCCACCCCCACTACCCACCTCCCACCCCCACCCCCCACCTCCCACCCCCACCCCCCACTTCCCACCCTCTGCCACCCCCTTGTGAGCCGGCGCCGCCCCCCCCCCCGTCCCATCGGTGGGACTGCTGCTCCGTCCCGACTGGAGGCGTCTGTTCCGGCGCTAGATGCTTCGTCCGCACACCCAGGGCCGGTGCTCGTTAAGCCTGCGATGATGAGTGTCTGTGTGCTTATGGTTTTTTTTTTAAATCTCTGCAGCTGTTAGTTCGCTGCTCTATGAACCCGGCGACCCCAGTTCGATTCTCACTCACAGCCAACACCAGTGTTGACTCGGCTTCAAATGAGTACCTGGTGCGATGCCAAGACAACGGTGGCCGGGCGTGGTTGTCTCTCAAATTAACTTTTCTACATGAAGGAACGCACTTCAATTGACTAGGGTGAAATGCGTGCCACCCCCGACCCTTCCTTGGGTGAATCCAGATCAATGAGAAACTGATCGAGCTGACGGAGAAGAGGAAGGAGATGATTGACAAGTGGGAGGAGCGATGGGAGTGGCTGAAGCTCAGTAAGTGCTCGCCGCGTTGGTCGCGATCTCACCTCGGCGCTCCGGTTATGATCCTCACTTGACATTTCTTACATGACCCATCAGCCGGGAGTGCATTAATTCAACAGCATCGACTCAAGACGAGCCAACTCTGAACCTGTTTCGAGTCCGGCTTGCTTGCATCAATTCTGGTAAACTGCCGATCTAAGAGGCTAGACCAGGGGTCCCCAACCCCCGGGCCGCGGACCGGTACCGGCCCGTGGCCTGTTAGGAACCGGGCCGCACAGCAGGAAGTGAGAGCGGTGAGTCCGCACGTGGCCCGCCCATTGTTTTATTATTTACCACTTCCGTCCGCGCCTCTTTCCCGCACCGCGCACTCAGTCTCGGTCACGGTGTGTGGTAATCCCACAAGCTCTAACCCCTAGTAGCCAAAATGAGTAAAAAAACTAAATTTCGCTGGAGAGCTTCTTTGAAAAGGGGGAAAGGCCCAATGATGAACCCCCACTCCCCTCCCCCGGGGTCCGTGAAAAAATTGTCTTCCACGAATCTGGTCCCTGATGCCAAAAAGGTTGTGGACCGCTGGGCCAAAGGACTCCCTCTCTCCTCCCTCTATGATGTGGCCGTGCGGCTGATGGATGGTTATATATTTGACGTGGAGAGACGGATGAGTGAAGGAGACGTGTCACGTCGGATTATTTATGTCCTTGTTGAGTTCTTCGTGGCTTGTGTCAGTAACCCAAAGTCGGTGCCACTGCTTTTCACGTCTGCCAGTACAATTTTTTCTTATTTTTTCCTTTTTTTCTTTTTACCAGGTAAGGCCCACTGAGCTATGTAGCTTTTTTTCAGAAACGACCTGGCCACAAATGATAGCCCAACGAAGTTGCTTTTCGTCTTGTGGAAATTTATAGCGGCCAAATACTCTGAACGCGTGACGTTGATTCTGAATGTGGAAGGGAAAAAACTGAAGGACCCCCGAGAAAAATCCCACGTGACCACGGGGAGAGAGAACACACTGACTCCAAATACCCAGGCGCCGGGGGTCGGGATCGAACCCGCGGTCTCCTGCATACCAGGCGAGGTAGTTTACATCTCCTAGCCACCGTGGCCGCTCGTTACTCTTGGATATACAGTGAGAGGCATGAAGGGGAACACGCGGCGCTAAACGTGGACGCGACCAATAGCACGAGGGAAAGTGAGTGGGCTTCGTTACTGGGCACGGTGTGCGAGTCACGGTCGACACCGGTGGTCACAACCAACGAGGAAGTGGCCGCCTGCAGGAAGTGGATTCAGGTCATGCGCGTGCGGAAGCCAAATGGAACGTTTGCATTGCCCTCCCGTGAGAGATGGCAACGGCTTGGGGCGGTGGGGGGGGAGGTCTTCACCCAGCAGTGGGTAGATCACAGCTGCTGATGGTGATTGTGAAGGATTTGTCTTGACCTTATGTTGCGACTTCACGATGATACAAACAAATGCAGTGATACCCCGATTCGCGTCTCCCACTTTTACGTCGTTTCGCAAGTACGTCGTCACTTCATCATTAGCGCCGCCACTCGACGTGCGTAGCCTCAACCCCACGCTCACGTCGCTGACGGCAACGTCGTCCGTCCTTTTCTCGTTGTCCGTCGCCTCTCAGCCTTCGCCTCCACCACCTGACTACCCCGTGAATCGCTCAGATTTGACATCGTTCCGGATATATTCGTCCTCGCACCTTTTCAGGAACGCATTCACCGATGTAAACCGGGGTAAAAGCGGCTCGTTTTTTAAACATGCCTTCGTGCCTCCGGCTCACAGTTGGCGACTCGCCGCGTGCATTCTGTGCGTGCTGCAAATCGGACTTGTCGCCACGTTATTCTTTTTTTTATTAATGCCACGTTATTTCCATTGTTGTCTTCGCTGTCGATGTTGAACGCGCGTCCCGTCGCGGGCCACGCCAGTCCTGGAGGTGCACCAGTTTGCCCGCGACGCGTCTGTGGCTGAGGCGTGGCTGCTGAGCCAGGAGCCGTACCTGTCGAGCCGCGAGATTGGCCTCAGCGTGGACGACGTGGAGAAGCTCATCAAGCGGCACGAGGCCTTCGACAAGTCGGCGCTCACTTGGGACGAGCGCTTCGGGGCGCTGCAGAAGCTCACGACGGTGGGTGCGCGATCGCGCGCTCAAGCTTGCGCGAACGCTCACAATCTCGTGCGCAATTCCGCGCAAATTCCGTGCAATCCCGAGCAGTCCTGCACAATCCCGTGCAATCTCATGCAATCCTGAGCAATCCCGTGCAGTCCCGCGCAATCTTGTGAAATCCCATGCTAATCCCATTAAGTCTCGTGCAAATCCCACACAATTGCGCGCAATCCTGCGCAATTAAGTGGAATAGCGTGCAATTGCGCGGTCTCGCTGCTCACACGCAACACATACATACTCTCACGGTTCGATGCGTCTGGCGTGACCATGAGAATCAACTTTAATGGACAAATCGATGCACCGTCATTTTTTTTCTCCGATTGATGCTGAAGGCTTGCAATCTGGCAACATGCCAGTGGGGTTGGTGGATCACGTAGAAACGGAGGATGCCATCCACAGTGATTACATTCCTGCAGAGTGCTTACTCGGGGACCCTGTCTCTCTTCTGTCCCCTCTTCAGCTGGAGCTGCTGGAGTTGCGTCGTCGGCAGGAGGAGGAGGATGACCTGGAGAGGAAGAGACTCTCACCTCCTCAACCCAGCGAGGAATTCCAGACCAGGTAAGCAGAAGAAGAACATCATACTGTGCGCGTTTACACGCTTAAATTATTAATATTGCATCATTATTATTCTACTGCTGGATGAAGGCCTCCCCCACTCTGTATCGGTCATGGGGTCATGTTTGGCCATACGTCACGCTTGTCAGTCTCTACCGGTGATGGGCGGAACCCAGACCCTATTCAGGTATCACTCGAAACGAATTTACCCAAGCACGGCAATCCAACTCAGGTGGCCGTGTTGTTCATAGCGCAGTGCGCGAACCAATGCACCATCCCTCCACCCTCCCCCCCCCTCCCACTGCGATTTTTGACCCATTTATCATTGGGTTCTTTTGAATTATGAAAGGGAGCTGATGTGGTGGAAAAAAACATACACACACGCACATGAGGGTAAAACGCCCAAAAATCTGCATATGTTGGCAAATAACCTACTTCCTGTACTGCCACATAAGGCCATCTCGTAGGTGGGGGATGACCTCTGCATGAACCATGAACCCCACCTTCCAGAGCGCCAGATTAGAGGTGTACGCTGTACGCACGACATGCCACAACCACAACACACGTACAACCATAACACACCACAACCCACCACAACACACGCACAACTAGGACACACCACAACTGCAACACAGGCACAACCACAACACACCACAATACAGGCTCAACCACAACACACCACAACACACACACGACCAAAACACAACCACAACACACGCACAACTACAACACACCACAACACACACACGCACACGACCACAACCACAACACACGTCCAACCACACCACAATACACACACGACCACAATACAACCACAACACACGCCCAACCACAACACACGCACAATCACAACACACCAAAGATCCCCATGATATAGCCTTAAGCTCTGTAAAACAGAGCTTCATTAGCTCATCGCGGTTATTCCAGCTTGGACCGAATGCCTGTGACTGTCTTGTCTGTTACTGTCTCTCTGTGTCTGCGGGTCACGCCGTTTGCTCGCCCATTAATCGGCGGACCAGAAGAGCCGGAAACCCTGCGTCAGTCGACAAAATCGGCGCGGTTGAAAGCTGGCCCGCCGGGCAGCCATGCCCACCGCGCGCTGCTTTGTCGACGCGCCTGACGGAAAGCGCTCGCGCGTAACTCATCGAGTCGTGTTGACAGCAGTTGATTAATCAATGCGTGGGAAAACACGAGGGCACAACACGGACGTGCCGCACGCGTCGAAACGACATCGTCGCGTGCGGTACGACGGTGTCCGTTGTTTGGATTTGTATTCACTCGCAAGGCCGTGGATTGGACATCTCTGAAAGACTGGGAAACTGCGAATAAGAGCTTTAAAGTTCATCGGATTCCTCCAGTATAAATACAAGTAAGTATTCTGAACGCCCTGATTCTGGATTTCGATTAATTACATTGTTCATTCGTTTTTTTCCCATCAAAAACACAGAGAAGCTGGAGATGCGCATGCCGTGCAAAACGGAGTCGCGGCGGCCGAAGTCGAGTCGGCGGCAAAGGTGAGAGCTTCGTGGCGGTTGGTCATGGCCCCCCCCAAAAAAACACAATAACCCTGCCATGCGCGTCCAACACCCTCACGGACATTTTCTGTGATCATATCGTTTTCTTGTTCACGAGGCGGCGCCGATCGTAGGCGCAGCAAGCTGTTCGATCCTGGCTCTCCTTCTCCTACTCCCAGCCCCACTCGCTGCCCAGCCCCGGCGTCGTCGTCGTGGGCTCCATTCACCCTACCCCACACCCCCACCCTCTCTATCTCTCCTCCCTGGCTCCGCCCTCCCCCCTCAATTACCAATATAGCCTCTTGATACAAGCAGCCCTCTTGCCCACTTCAGCAATTGTTTTTTGCTGTGGTTGTCACACCTGAGGACGGACGCTTGTGTTGCGCCCGAAACGTCGTGATTTCATTGATTTTATTTTACTTTTATACCTACGTGACTTTACCGAAAGAACCAAAGAGTATAGATTATTTACTTATTTCACGATCACGTGAACAACGCTTCCCAACGAAGCCTGGCAGCGTTCTTGCAATAGCTGTCCCATCTGTCCGTCTGTCATGGGGACATCCAAATTAAACTAAACAATCTTGATTTGAAGCTTTCGTGACTGCAGGAATCCATACTCTTTGGTTATTTCGGTAAAGTCACGTAGGTAGAAATAAAAAATCATATATCACGACATTTCAATCGCAACACAAGCGGAAAAACAATAATAATAAAAAAATGTATCTAGCAGTGGAGCTGCTAAACCAGCTGAGGACGACCACTTGCGTTGCGATCGAAACGTCGCGATGTATTATTTTTTGTTTTATTTTATTTTTCTACCTACGTGACTTTACCGAAAGAACCAAAGAATATCAACTAAGCAATGTTTTTTTTATTTTACCAGCTAAGGCCCACTGAGCTATATATATATTTCAGTCGTGGGATGGCCACAATCGATGGCTCAACAAAGTGGCTTATCACGCAGAAATGTATAGCAGCCACATACTCCGAACGAATGTTTCTAAATGCGGAGGAAAGAAATCGGAGGAGAGAGACACACGATTTCCAAATGTACAACAGGCGTCAGGGTCTGCATGTAACCCAGGACCGCCTGCATACCAGGCGATGTGGTTAACATCTCGCCTACCGCGAGCCTATGATGGGAGCTTGCCTGAAACTCGGTAGCAAACACCAGCGGTGGTAAACGCCGATTGCCACGCGTGGCTACGTACGGCTCGAGTTCGGCGTACACGCATGCACACGCACGTTCGGTGGAAAAATCCTTTCCGGCCGCGAGAATGACGTCGCAAGCCACGCCGCCTCAGTAACACACCCCCCTCTCTGCCCGCCCGTGCTTCCCCGTGTCGGGCCCAGGCGGCCGCGGAGGGTGCGGACGGGCTGGCCAACGGCTCCGAAGGCCGGGCGCGGCGGGCGAGGGAGAGCCCCCCGCCATCGCCCGAGGGGGAGAGGAGGGGCCTCGCGTCGCCGCCGCTGGCGCCGCACACCTCGGCGAGCCTCCCGGCCAAGCCCAGCGAGGTGCTCATGCTGCCCACGGAGGGCTTCCTGCACCGTAAGCACGAGTGGGAGGCGAGCAACAAGAAGGCCAACAGCAGGTGCGGGCGTTGCGCGCGCGTGTGTCTGTGTGTGTGTGTGTGTGGGGCGCGGTAGTGTAGCGGTTAGCGCGCTGCGCTATGAACCTGGCGACCCGGGTTCGATTCCCGCTCAAGGCCAACACCAGTGACGATTATCTGAACCGGTCCCGGGCCTCCCCTAGGTCGACTCAGCCTCAAATGAGTACCTGGTGCAGTGTGTAAACATTGCCACTAGGGAGACAAAGGCGGTCGGGCGTGGTGCTGGCCACCCACCCCCTCGTGTACTGTTCCGGCCTTCATAGGTGCTCGCTAACAGCACTTGCCCCTACAGTCTGTTAAGGCTATATGGGGGATCTTTGTTTTGTGTGGGGAGCGGTAGTGTAGTGGTTAGCGCGCTGCGCTATGAACCCGGCGACCCGAGTTCGATTCCTGCTCACGGCCAAAATCAGTGACGATTATCTGAACCGGTCCTGGGCCTGCCCTATGTCGACTCAGCCTCAAATGAGTACCTGGTGCGGTGTGTAAACATCGCCACTGGGGAGACAAAGGCGGTCGGGCGTGGTGCTGGCCACCCACCCCCTCGTGTACTGTTCCGGCCTTCATAGGTGCTCGCTGACAGCACTTGCCCTAACAGTCTGTTACAGGCTATACGGGGGATCTTTGTCTTTGTTATGGGAAGTGGTGATGTAGCGGTTAGCGCCTTGTGCAGCAATTACGGCGGCCCGGGTTATCTGAACCGGTGCTGGTCCTTCCTGATGTCGACTCAGCCTCAAGTGAGTAGCTGCTCCTCTGTGTAAACATTTCCACAAAGGCGGCCGGGTGTGGCGCTGGCCACGAACCCCGTCGTGTGCCATGATAGCCTTCTTAGGCGCTTGCTAACAGCACTCTTGAGGCTATGCGGGGGTGTTTGTCTTGTGTGTGTGTGTGCGTGTGCCTGTTGGCGTGCGTGCATGCCCATGGGCACGCACGCGTGTATGAGAGCGTTCTTTTGGGGGAGTGGCGGCGTAGTGGTTAGCGCACTGCGCTACAAACCCAGCGACCAAGAGTGTTGATTCCCATCAGTGACAAATATCTGGACCGGTCCTGGGCCTCCGCTCGGTTGACTCAGCCTTAAATCAGTACGTTCTATGGTGTGTAGACCAAAGGTGGCCAGGCGTGGTGCTGGCCACATCACTCCCTCATGTGCCATGCTCGCCTTAAAACTAAACTACACTATTTTTTTTATATTTTACCAGGTAAGGCCGTCTTGAGCTGTATAGCTCTTTTTCAGAAGTGACCTGGTCACAAATGATATATCAACGAAGTGGCTTACCATGTGGTATTTTACAGCAGCCAAATTCTCTAATTGCATGTTTCTAAATGTGGGGGGAAAAATTGGAGGACCCAGAGAAAAATCCACGTGACCACGGGAGAGAGAGACACCCAAACTCCAAATATACAGGTGTCAGGGTCGGAATCGAAACCACGACCTCCTGCATACCAGTCGAGGAAGTTAACATCTCGCCACCCACCGTGACGCCCCTTAAAAGCACTGGCCCCAACAATCTATGTAGACCAAACAAGGGACCTTTTTTTATTTTCAACGTTAATAGGAACTATCCGTGGGCAGGCGATGCGTAAAGTGAAATAAATTCCACTGTTGCTATTATTATTGTAAAGGGGATGTTGCCATGATGTAATGTTGAGCCCACTGAACTTGCAATCCTTGGGGTCGCCGGTTCTATCTCCCGGCGTGGAAGTTGAAACGACGGTGCCGGTATCTTAAATCCCCCTCCGCCTCTGGCCACCCAGAGTATGAACGCTTACCCCACGGTTCGTGGAAAGCCAGTTCACCTGTGGCTCCCACGTCTTCAAAAGCCAAAAACATCACGAGAGCTTCCTCCAGTGAAAGTCCTTCCACCAGTCAGTGGCATGAGTGAGACACTTCAAGGCAGCTAATAATTAGATTTTTTCCACTTCTGCATGATCCACCAACTCCCATCTCCGCGTCTCTGGCTTCTATTCTATCCTTGCGCATGATGGTAATGCATGCGTTTGGAGTATTTGGCTGCGATATATTTTCACGTGATAGGCCACTGCGTTGAGCTATCATTTGTGGCCAGGTTGCTTATGAAAAAGAGCTACATAGCTCAGTGGGCCTTACCTGGTAAAATTAGTTTAGTTTTAATAATAGGGTTTTTCCCCTTTTTTCTGGCAACAAAACTGAAACCTTTTTACAAGTATTCATGTCTGCATTAACCACAATACCTGCATTCAAAATGCACGTCCCTTGGTGTGGACCGATCAGTTTCAAGGACAATGCATATATTATCAGAGTATGTTTTTTGTTTGCATTTTGACTGCAGGTATTGTGGTTAATGCAGACATGAATCCTTGTAAAAAGGTTTCAGTTTTGTTGCCAGAAAAAAAGGGGAAAACCCTATTATTATATTTTGGTACTGGCAAAGGAGGTCTAATGATAGTTTAGTTTTGTTTAAATGTCAATGTCGAGGTCTGCTAGCCACGAAAGGGCTTTGTGGCTAGTCGTGATGCCTGCACACGCTTCGATTTCTCTACTCGAATGACGTCTGGCGAGAGAGTTCATGCAGTGTTCCTCCTCCATCGGATGAGCGCAGACTACAGTGGTTTACTACAGTGGTCCATAGTTTTGGTTGCATGGCCCCAAGCACACTCCTGTGGCTTGTGTCTTTAATGTTCCGTTCATGATGGAGATGTACATATCGGTCTGCTGACGTTTCTGATGCGGGGAGGCGGTAGCCTTCCAGCGGTGCCCCGTCTCTCACGGGTTTTCATGTTACCTTAAAGACAACTAATACCGGCATCTAGTTGAAACGGACTTAATTAATTTGAATCCAGTGTCTGGATGAGACACGAAGGTCATCCTAACCCTAACTTTTGATTTTTACTATTTACCAGGTAAAGCTCACTGAGCTATTAGCTCTTTTTCAGAGGCTACCTGGCCACACTTGATGATAGCTCATCATCGAAGTGGCTTATATCATCATCATCATCATCATCGCACGTGCGAATTCATAGTGGCAGCCCAATAATCTAAACGGATCTGTTATAAACGTGGAGGGCAAACTCCAAATAATCCACGGGTAGAGTGTGCAAACTCCAAATACACAGCAGGCATCGTCAGGGTCGGGATCGAACCCACGACCTCCTGCATATCAGGCGAGGGAGAAAACATCTCGCCACCGCGGCGCCCCTGACCCTGTCCCGCAGGTCATGGAACAACGTGTACTGCGTGCTGAGCACCGGTCACATGGCTTTTTACAAGGACCCCAAGAGCGCCAGCACGGGGGTCACGTTCCACAGCGAGATCCCCCTGCCTCTGTCGGGCTCCTCGTGCGAGGTGGCGTCCGACTACAAGAAGCGCAAGCATGTCTTCAAGCTGCGGTGAGCGCCGCCACGGCTTCCGGGCCCTCGGGCCCACGGGCCCGGTAACCTGGACACACGCACGACGATCGAGCGTGCTCGGGCGCTCGCGCCGCCGTTCCCACGGCGTGGGGGGCCACCGTCGTCACGTCGGACGGCGCTGCCGTGTCTCACAGGCACGGTCTGCGGCAGTTTCACTGTCGGGGTCGATGTCGCTGCTGCCGCTGCTGCCGTGTGTAACCCCAATTGCGGTGTCATTTTCCTTTTTTATTTTGACAAACCGTCAGACTGAGAATGTTTTTAAATGTAGACGGGGGGGAAATCCGATGAGCAACCAAGCTCTTTTCCCCAGTTTTTCCAGTAAGGGGTGGGTCAGCAAGTTACAACTTCGGCCATTCTGTTCTTGCACATGATGGCAGCAGCAATACGCTCAGCAGCTAGATGCCAATGTCGAGGCCAGCTGGCCACGAGGCGGCTTCCTGGCTCGCCACGACGCCCGGCACGCACTTGGCTTGCCCTGTTCGAATGACGTCTGGCGATCTTTAACGTCTGCCACCGACGAAGAGGATTGAATGTTATTATTTTTTTGTTTCGCGCGTGCAAATTGTTGGTGACCGGGCTGAAGCCATTGACTCGGTTTACAACTCGGTTTAATCGCGGGCGGCAACAAAAAGCCGGCTTCGAACCCAGGATCTCGGTAGTGCTGGCTCCGACCCCCTTCGAGCTGCCTGGCCACCTCAAGCATTGATTATTTAGGGTGTATTTAGTTATATGTGTGTATATAATTCTCTGTAAGGCGCGATATGAATTACATTAAGATAAGATGTTGAACCTCGATTTAAAGCTTTCGTGACTGCAAGGATTCATCTTCTTGGTTCTTTCGGTAATGTCACGTAGAATGAGAATAAAACAATAAAACAAAATAAGACAATAAAATTCTCACGACGTTTCGGCCACAACACAAGTAGCCTTCTTCAGGTGAAGGAACAGAACTGTCGTCCCGACAGTTCAGTTGAAGCGCTGTCGTCCCGACAGTTCTGTTCCTTCACCTGAAGAAGGCTACTTGTGTTGTGGCCGAAACGTCGTGAGAATTTTATCGTCTTATTTTGTTTCATTGTTTTATTCTCATTCTACGTGACTTTACCGAAAGAACCAAGAAGATGTTGAACCTCTTTAACACCGCACGTAGCCAACCATGCTAATTGGAGGTGCGGGGGTAGGGCAACAAACTAAACACAAAAAGCAGTTCTAAAAAAACCAAAAATTTCAATATATTATTTTTAAAGTGCAGAGTTCCAGTGGCTTCCTAATGTGCCGCAGAAGCGCATCTTAAAGCCCGCGATGCGGTTGACCGTTTTTGTTCGATGGCTCGCCTAAAGCCGCTATAGTTGCATGCAAATGTTACACTTTGGCTACAGCCGTGAACCAGTCTGCGCAAATGATACTGGACAGTGGTACACGAGAAACTTTTTGGACAGCAATTATTGAGTTAAATTTAAATTCGTAGAAATTCATCATCACTTGCATTCCTCCCTGCCACCTACCGTCCACAACGTGTTGAAGACTTAACTGGGTTGCCTGCCATAGAAACGTGGGATTTCCTGACAATGTCCAGGGCTCGCATTGTGCACACGAGCACCACACGAGTATCTACGATCACGTGGTTCAATGGGCGACGAGAGACCGAGGAAGGATGGTGAAACACGCACACGGCTGGCGAAGTAACGAATGCACGCGTTATTTTGTCACTCGCAGGCTCGAGGATGGAAATGAATTCCTGTTCCAAGCCAAGGATGATGTAAGTTCACATTGCTGACGTGTTGTTGATGTGAGCCTTTAAAATACTTTTTTTTAAATGTCCATACTCTAGTTTTCACTGGTTGGCCTTTCGAATCATATTTAAACAAATTTCTACTTATAATGTGGTCCCAAGATTTTGCACACTGGTTGTTGACCTTACAGGTAAAGTGTGGATCATACCGATGGTTGAGTTTCAAACTTACAACACGGCACGATGCCCCCTCGCACGCATGAGTTTTTTTTTTTCCGGGCGCTCCGGTTTCCTTCCCACATGCATGCGCGCCCGTTGAATTGCTGACAAATGTCCTCATATATAGAGGACTGCAGAGCATGGGGAACAGTTGGTGTCGCCGGCTCCTCGCGTGGCTGCTGCTGCCCCTTCCCGCTCGTCTGTGGTCCCCTGCCCCTCGGGGTCGTTCTCCCCCTTAGAGGGCGAGCGTAGGCTGTGCCGCTGCGGCGGTGCGTTGCAAGTTTACATTATCACAATTATAATTGTTACGGCGGAGAGTAAGAGCTGCGGACATGACTACCGGGGTGTATCCACGCGGCAGCTCCTCGCTACTTAACCCAGGGGGGTCGGCAACCTGCGGCTTCGGAGCCGCGTGCGCCTCTTTTAAGGACTTTTTCCTGTCGTTATTTTATCGAGGACCGCCGTCTGCTTATTCACCACGTGCATCGCGGCTCTTGAAATATTGGTTTTTAGTTGACCGAATTCGAAAAAGAAAATGGCTCCATTGTTATTTTGGTTGCTGAGCCCCCAACTTAACCCAGAGCACCGGGGCCTCTGCTGTGATGTGCAGTGAATGAGCCTTCGGCACTCCACACATGTGCAGTGTGCTCATTCACAGACACTAGTAGGAGGCACTCTCTCTCTCGCTCTCTTTTATTCCGGCCTTCACAGCCTTAGGGGGTAACCACACACCGGGTCGGGACAGCCAACATGCTGCCAGACCCACAGCTTGAAGAGGGCGAAGATCACGACGAGTTCCATCACAGATCGCAGCAGCCTCGACTGTCAGTCGGAGCTCGCCCCTTTTATCCTGCCCAGCGTGGCGAGGCTCCGCCCTCGGCCCCACACCCCTCTGGATCCCCAGAGGGCTCCGTGCCTTGCCCACATGTCCAAGTGTTGGAACGAGCTGCTACCCCTAACTCCATTGTCTACCAATCTCCCAGCGGCACGCGCTACAGTGACTCATTCAATGGCGCTACACGTGTTACCTGGACTTGGTCCTGTTGCCTTTTGATGGCAAGACTTTACCACGCATAATGCTTAGGTATGTCATGTGACCTCCTATAATTTGGCTTTTGGAGCTCCACGCAGTGTCGCTTTGCAGCAAGCCTTGCATAGACACCACGGTGACATCATTGCGGTGTTTGTGTGCGTATGTGTGAGTGTGAGTGTGCACGTTTGTTTGTCTTTGCATGTATGTATGTATGTGTACACATCTGGTCGTGTCTGTGTACATATTTGAATGTCTCTGTTGTCCGTGTGTTTGTGTGCACATATCCACGTCCACATTTGTGGGGAGCGGTAGTGCTATGGTTAGCGTGCTGCGCTACGAACCCGGCGACGCGGGTTCGGTTCCCGCTCATGGCCACCAACGCCAGTGACGAATATCATCTCAACTGGTTCTGGGCCTCCCCTAAGGCAACTCAGCCCTAAATGAGCACGTGTTGCGGCGTGTAAACATCGCCGCTGGGTAGGCAAAGGGAGGTGGTCGGGCGCGGTGCAGGCCACACCGCGGTCTCGAGTGCGGTGTTGGCCGTACGGAATCAGAATATTTATTGATGCCGGAGGAAATCCGATGAGCTGTGAAGCTCTTTTTCACAGATGTCCACCATTAGGGGCAGGTGGTCGCTAACCGCACTTGACAGTCTGTTAAAGGCCACACGGTTGGCGTGGGGGGTGGGGGGCGTCTCTGCCTCTCGTGCGATCGCAGGACGAGATGAACGGCTGGATCAACAGTGTGAGCAGCGCCATCGTCGGGGTGCGGGCGGAGGCGAGCGGCGGCCCTGGCGGCGGCGCTGGCGGCGGCGCTGGCGGTGCAGGCGACGTGGCTCGGGCGCAGACGCTGCCTGCGACGGCCGTGAGCGGCGCCGGCGACGCCAGCCCCGGCAAGCGCGAGAAGGACAAGGAGAAGCGCTTCAGCCTGTTCGGCAAGAAGAAATGAAAACGATACGGATTGTACAAACCCACACCCACCCACCGACCCACCGACCCACCAACCCCTCACCCCCAACTCGTCCCCGCTCACCCCTCCCCCCATAATGACGGTGCTCTCTGTGTAACGCGCGCACCCGGAACGTTTCATGCTGCACTGCACGCCCGGCGCTCTGTAAATCCACCGCAAGCCGGCAAAAAGAAAAAAAACAAAAACTTCCCAGCCGGCCGCGAAAAAAAAAGCCAAATTATTCTCGTTTTTTTTCTAAGTTTTTATTAATCGAAACACTCTGGCGGGACGCGGCTAGCGGTGACTGTGTGTGGGGGAGGGCCTCGAGGGTGGCGCGCCGCTGAGATGCCTTACAGTGACGGTCGCGCATCTGCCCCTGCGGCGTTGTTTTTTCGTGCTTCGCGCTGCTCCTCGTGTTTCGTCCACCGCCTCGAGCGCCGATTGGCGACGTCCCTCGCCACCACGTGCCACCCCCCCCCCCCCATCCCCCGTCCTCCTCCGTCTTCCGTCGATGATTCCTCCGTTGAGCCCTGGCGCTTGACTTTCACGCCTGCCCTCCCTCCCCCCCCCCCCCCCCCGTACACCTGCGCGCGTGCCCACGTGCGTACGTGTGCGTGTTTAACCCTCGTGCCTACCTACGTGCCCCTTGCGGCCAAACGTGGATGGCGGTTGAAAGGCACCGCGGTCGCCCCCCGCCCTGCTTTGATCGCGCTGGCCCTGTGGTTCGCCGCCGACCGGCGACGTCGGGATTTGAGCTTGGCGGCGATCGTCCTGTGGCTTAGTCTGCCCCCTCCTGCAGGCGCTCCCCGTTGAAGTCAGCTGCACTTGGGGGAGATTCTCCCCTACGCTGTCCGTTCAGGGGAGGGGGGCCCCTCCTTCTCTCCCAGAGCGGTCGCTCGGTTTGGGGAAACCTTGACCAATCCCGATCTACTACTCACTCCCGGCCTTCCCCAGGTCCGCTACAAGCTCCTGCACGAGGTTGAGTCGGCGACCGAGTGAAACGACAACAACAACAACAACAACAAAAAGACTCGCGTGTGCGCGTGCGCGTTTGATGCAATTTTGTTAACTCTGAGCTTTGTCCAAATTGTGTCACAGATTGTGGCAGTTGGCACAGAGAGTGGATGCAGTGTGTTTCAGTGTGGTGCTCTCAGCAGATGGCAGTGTCGCTGTCCACACAGTTTCTGCACTGCCGTCGATGATGTGTGCAGGACTTTTTCCTCTTGTGTTTGGGTTTTTTTTCCCCCTTGTTTTTGTGCCAGAAGTGTGCGACGGTGTAGATACAAAATGACTGGAAGACGATGCCAGGGGGCGGGGAAGCTCGCGGGGAGATTTGAGACGAGAGAAGGTGTAGGATGTGTACAGGAAAGTGGAATTTGTGGTCTGTGTTGGGTCGATTGAATTTGGATTAAGAGAATAGCCGTGTGTCATGAAGATGCGCAGGTTAGACCGGAAAGCTTTGGAAGGTGTTTTTTTCTTTTATACAAATGTTTTTAAAAGCATATGGCCTATATTAGAGTAGGCGATACGCCAAACTGAACAGCTCTCAATTGCGTTAGAGCATTGCTTTTCGAACTTAATGGCCGAGAGTTCGTATTTTTTTTTGCACCATTTAATCTTGTGAAGGGCCCCGTGTATTTCCCCTTTCATGTGTTTGACCTCTATTCTCAAGACTGAACTCTCCTCTTAAGTACGATCAGGTTGTGCGTGTGCCTGAGCCCTGTGCCTCTTGATTTATACATTTAAACTGGCAGGTTGTTGGAATTGCGACGCATGGAAATATTTCTACTTTTTTTTCTGCGTAGCCGTGAAATATCTTGAGTCTCACGAAGGGGCGGCTGGGGGCGGCAGGGCATCTAACATCGCCCTGATGACGCCACGGTGGCGAGATGTTAACTACCTAGCCTGGTACACAGGAGGTTGTGAGTTCGATCCTGGACCCTGACGCCTGTTGTATATTTGGAGTTTTCATTGTTCTCTCCGTGGCCGCGTGGACTTTTCTACCGGTCCCTCTGGGTTTTCCCTCCACGTTTAGATCAACATGCGTTTAGAACAATTGGCTGCAGTGAATGTCCGCATGGTGATAAGCCACTTCGTCGAGCTATCACTTTGTGATCGCCAGGTCGCTTCCGAGAAAGAGCTACATAGCTCAGGTGCGTCTTCTTTCCTGGTCAAAGAAAATATTTTGAGATTGATGACAACGACGCGAGTGGGAACCACGCGATTATCTTCGCCCCCAACCTCCCCCCCCCCCCACCTCCCCGCTCGACACGAGGAGGAGGAACGTCCTCGGATTGTACACATACTTGCCGTGGGCTCGCACACTACAGCACTCGGCGATGGGCCAGCGGCGGCCGCGCGTTTATCATCCCCGTCCGTAGAGCTTTCAAGTCTTCTCTCTCCGCTTGAGTGCGGCCGCCGCCTTTCGGTTCGACGCTGACGGTGAGCCATCGGCCGCGGCGCTCGTTGAGAAACGGTCGCCCTTTTCGCCGCCCTTGCATTTGATGTCGTTTTTACTCGTGCCGTACCATTGCTGTTACCGTTCACGTTAGCGTTGGGGGGGTTTTATTTTGTTTTAAACGGACGTCAAGTTTTATCGCTGCATGTTCCTCTGATTTGTCTTCACGGGGGGAGCGTCCCGGAACGTCTGTGTCCGTGCGTCGCACGCGGACGCGCGGGCGTTAACGTTCGCAGGTCGCCGACTGATATCCCACCGGGCACATCGCCGATATGTATGTACGCATGTTTGAACTTATTTCGCACCGTACGTAGCCAACCGCGTTAATCGGAGGTGTGGAATATCCCACCACAGCCAAACTGACATCGCACCAGAACGATACTGATATCCTAATAGAATACCACCGACATCTCACCATAACCACACTGTTATCCAACCACAACATCACTGATATTTCACCGGAACGTCGCTGATATCCCACCAGAACCTCATCAACATCCCACCAGGACATCACACTCAGAACGCAAGCCCTCGAGAGTGAAAGTGCGGTCGTGTTATTTTATTCTTCCAGTAAACTGACCACTTTAGTTTCACAGAGCGGTGATGTTAAAGATATATGTATTAACTTAGATAAATATATTAAATGTGAAGGCATTTATTAGACACAGTACTCGATATTTTTTTTGTTGGGATAGTGGGGTGTGGGTGGGGGGTAGACACTCTGCAGAGCTTTAGTAGAGGGTGGGGGGGGGGGCTAGGTTACTTGCTTTATGGATGGCCGAATGGTAAGAAGTTATTGCCTTGTATGCTTGCTTGCTTGCTCGCTTACAGACTCGACAAAATATAGATATAGATATAACAACAACAGAAACAAACACAACCGTTTCCTTTTTGTAATTATGTCGGTGAGAATGTGGAGAACGATGCCCGGCCCGGCGACCCAGGGAGCGCAACGCTCGCCGGCGTCCGGGTTCCCCAACCAGGCGGCTCCGTCCGGCTCTCTCCAACGGTGCGCGCCTTCGCCAAGCGCCGGGCCCTCCGAGCCCAGTGTCCTGACCCACGGTGGGACGGATCGCTTTGAAAAGAGAGAGAGAGATGGGAGTGAGTGTGTGTATGTAAGTGGGAGAGAGAAAAATAACGCACGGGGCCGCCGAATATTTCCAAAGCTCACGAAGCGGCTCGCTGCAGGAAGATGATGCTCGCTTGCGGCTGCCATGAAAAAACCTCCCTTTACCCTGCACGCGTCTCTCTCCAAGCCGCTAGCAGCGGGGAGCGGTGGCGCAGCGGTTAGCGCGCTGCGCTGCGAACCCGTGCGACCCCGAGTTTGATTCCCGCTCGTGGGCCAACATCGGTGACGAAACATCTGAACCGGTACCTCGCCTCTCCCAGGTCGACTCGGTCTCAAATGAGTACCTGGTGTAGCGGTGTGTAGTAAACGTCGCCACTGGGGAGACAAAGGCGGCCTGGCGTGGTGTTGGCAGCCACCCCCCTCGTACGCCGTGCCGGCCTTAATAGGTGCTCGCTAACCGCTCTTGCCCCAACAGTCTGTTAAAGGCTATACTGAGTGGGGGGTGGGATCTTTGTCTAAGGTCTGCCGAATAACTCGCAGAGCGCTCTGCGACTGCATGCTCAACGCACACCAAGGAGCCACGGATGATGTATTGTGACACACGCCGTGAAGTTTGTTGGACAGTGGGTGAAGAGATGAGGATGTTAAATAAAACAAACATAGGAATGATGGCGGTGTTTAGGTAATGCTAACGACACACACACACACTCATAACCTACTAAGCAAAAAGGGTGGTAGTATATTTAAGCAAGCTATTCCATTATGCATGGTATTGGGCTTTTAACTCTTACAAGTTTTCCCAGGTGGGACGTTTAGGCCGACGACAAAGTACTTTTTTTCCTCTTTTAGAACGACGTCTCACTCTAGCTATTGTTTAATTCCCTCTCTCTCCCACTGACCCTGCCCCCCAACCACCGGTGTCTCCCGAGTCGTGCGCGCCTGGCGGCCACATCACTCTGCCAGCTCATCCCAGACACGCGCGCGCTGGGGACGCGGGGAGTTGCGCGCATGTTTAAAGGGGTGGAACGCGCGCTCTGGTGCAATCGTCACGTGAGCCACACCGAGCATTCCAATGCGGCGAGTGATGAACACCACCTAAAGTCCAATTTTGACTTTAAACTTTCGTGACTTGCAGGGATTCATAGTCTTGGTTCTCTCGGTAAAGTCACGTAGATAGAAAAAGAAGAAAAAAATCAAAGGAAAAAACCCACGACGTTTTGATCGCAACACAAGCGGTCTTCTTCATGTTGTGTTGCGATCGAAACGGCGTGGGTTTTTTGCTTTGATTTTAGATTTATTTAGACATTTTTATTATTTTTTTCCTATTTACGTGACTTTACCGAAAAAACCAAGAATACCAGCGAGAGTCGTCACTTCCGACCCAGGCGCGCCACCCCCCCCCCCCCCCCCTTTTGTAATGCGGAGCACACGGAGGCATTTCAAACATTCTCCGCATTTGTAAAACCGGGGGGGGGGGGGGGGGAGCCGAGGAGTGGTTGAGGTCGACACTCCCAATCTGGTCACAGGACTCGGGAGATGAATTTTGAAATTGTAAACGCGCGTTCGTAGCGTGGGCAGCGTCGACCCCCCCCCACTCCCTTTCTCCCGTCGGGATGAGCTGACGGAATGAGCGCTGACGAAAACTGGAAGCCCCCTGTACGTGTATACTTACTACCCTTTGAGTCTAATAAAGCATTACCATTATGTACTTTTAATCACGGGCATCCCTGAATTTGTGTCTCGCGTGTCGCGGTGTGTGTAAAAAAAAAAAATCGCCGCTGGGGGAGACAAAGGCGGTCGGGCCACTCCACCCCGTCGTGTGCCGTCTTGGCCTTCGTCAGACGCTCGCTAATAGCACTTTGCCCCCAGCGGTCGATTCCGGCTACACGTGGGAATCTCCGCTTTTGTTGCCGATGGTGGTGATTTCATTTGCCGCACAGGCCAGATATATCACAACATAATTAAGCGTTAAACCACGTGGTTTTTTTTCGTACGTGGATTCTCCTATGACTTATTGTGACCCAAGTGTTTTTTTTTTTTTAAAAGGCTCCTCTATTGCTGCCTTGTGCCTCGGCGGCTCCACGTGGCGCTGTCGTCATTTTGACGTTCGCGTTGGCTTTCTGGGCCCGGCAAAGGTGGTGCGTTCGCCTGCGTTTATTGGTGAGCGTTCCGATATGGGGCTGTGGTTGAGGACATAGAGCCGACTCAATCAAAAGTATCTATCGCACGCTTTCACTGTAGCTGCCGAGTGCGCAAATGGCATCAACGCAAGCTGATGTCATCGTGCACGTACGTATGTTGAACTTATTTCGCAACCGTGCTCATTGGAGGTGCGGGGAAAGGGCAGAAAAATAATAAACACGAAAAGCAGTTTGGAAGAAGCGAGTTTTCAATCGAGACGATTTAAAAGTACACAGGTCCAGTGGCTTCCTGATATCGGAAGGAAGAGCGTTATAAGACGGCCGCAGACGCGCATCTGAAAGCGCGCGATGCTGCGACATTTTGGCTCAAACGGCAATAGCAATTCTAGATTTGAAGCTTTCGTGACTGCAAGGATCCATACTCTTTGGTTCTATTCGGTAAAGTCACGTAGGTAAAAAAAATAAAACAACAAAAATCACGACGTTTCGGCCACAACACAAGCGGCCTTCATCAGGTGAAGGGACCAGACTGTCTCGAAGACTGCGCTGGAGTGAAACAGAGCCAAGCTCAGCTTAAAGGCTGGAGTGAAACAGAGCCAAGCTCAGCTTAAAGGCTGAGAGCTTGGCTCTGTTTCACTCCAGCGCATTCTTCGAGACAGCCTGTTCCCTTCACCTGATGAAGGCCGCTTGTGTTGTGGCCGAAACGTCGTGATTTTTGTTGTTTTATTTTTTTACCTACGTGACTTTACCGAATAGAACCAAAGAGTATGGGAATAGCAATGCCACCCCACACCGCTCTAAATAATGGAGCAAGCAAACTTGTCTTGCAGCTGACTAAGAGACATTGAAGCAACTGAAGCCATATCCTGGCGACCTTATCTGGACTTAGACGTTAAAGGATTCGAGGAGCAGTTTCGCAGTGATTGGCACGCTGCCGCTGTGAACCCGCTTTCCTGGGTTCGACTCCCGGCCAACTGCTATGTATGTAAAGCAGCTTTCGCACCGTACATAGCCAACCGTGCTAATCGGACGTGCTAACTCGAGTCACGAGTGATATTTTAAGGGGCCAGACTGCTTAACCAGTCAACGCTGACCAGCGTGGTGAAGTATGGTAAAAACAACCTACATGACCCACACGGCTCGCGGAAGCTTTCATCCAACATTACATCAATTGAAGGACGTAAATTAGTTGTCCTCCTTGCCACACGCAACAAGAATGATACAAATTGGGCGGCTGACGGTAATGAAACATCAGCTCCGCAAGGTTGCCAATTTTAAATCCCACAATAGCCCATCCGTGAAGCCCTGCAGCTGCAGTCCGTAGGTCGTCCAGTGGGAGGCACTGTTGAATGTTTAAACAACAACACAAAATTAAACGTTCCACATCCCCGAACAAAGATCCCCCGTATAGCCTTGACAGACTGTTGGGGCAAGTGCTGTTAGCGAGCACCTTTGAAGGTCGGCACGGCACGCGAGGGGGTTGGGTGGTCAACACCACGCCCGGCCGCCTTTGTCTCCCCAGTGGCGATGTTTACACATCGCAACCAGGTACTCATTTGAGGCTGAGTCGACCTAGGGGAGGCCCAGGACCGGTTCAAATAATCGTCACCGGTGTTGACCGTGAGCGGAAATCGAACCCGTGTGATCAGGATCGTAGCGCAGCGCGATAACCGCTACACTACCGCCACCCCCCCACCATACACAAACACGCGCGCGCGTGTGCGTGCACACACACACGGGTATGTATACATTTATAGACATCATCTGCTTCATTATTTTATTGTGTTTTGTGATGCAGGTGTAAAACGCCCACCGACCACAGCTCCCTTTTTTCCCTGGTGGCAAACATTTTTACTTTCGTAGATTTTTTTTGTTCCACCGCCGACGGACGGGATGGGGGGGTGGGGTGTGTGGGGTGGAAGAAAAAAATTTCCACGCAGGTTTCCAAAACATAAAAAACCCATGAAAGAGCAAACAGGGCCCTTGTCTGATATTGAAATGAAGGCGCTTGAAACGCCCATGCAAATTGTCTGGCACGTTCTGACTTTGACGCGCTTTCCGCGGTAGGTGGTGGTGCGATGGTGGTTTGATTCCTGGCACAGGTGGCGCAAATAATGAACCCGAAACATGGTTCTCTAAAGTCTCGAACATTGCTTGCCTCTATATCTACCGGCAGGAAAAGAAAATGTGCCCCGGCGGCGAGATGTTAACTGCCTCGCCTCGTGTACAGGAGAGCGTGGGTTCAATCCCGACCCTGACTCCTGTTGTATATTTGGAGTTTGGCATGTCTCTCTCTCTCGGTGGGCGCGTGGATTTTTATCCGGGTACTCCGGAGTTTCTCTCCACATTTAGAAACATGCGTTTAGAGTAGTTGATTGCTATAAATGTCCACCAGACAATTCACTTCGTTGAGCTATCGATTGTGGCCAGGGCCTTACCTCGTAAAATAAAAAATATAGCTTTAGTAGTTATACATGGTGGGTGTTTATATTTCCGCAAGTATATTACCAAAGGACTGAGATTAACCGAGACAATCATCGTTTGTAGCCTTCTGCAGCTGTCGAATTGGGCCGGTAACACGACGGTTTCACGCCACAACACCCACCCAATGCATGCCGGCAATATTCAGAACGACGGTTTCCCACACAGTTTTCCCTTCCTACGATGTTTCCACACATGGTGCCACACAGCAGTGTGCGCGCGATGCTGCAGCACGAAGAGGCTTCATACTGGGCACCGTCTACATTTACAACGTTGGCCACTGATTGGACGAAGGCTTCATCCATCCAATGCTGTGTTGGTTATGGGGGGGGGGGGAGGCGTGGTGTTTGACCATATTTCACCACGCCAGTCGAGTGTGGGTTGGT